TTTGTGCACCGATCTTGATATCTGATCTCACGAGTTAGAATTGATAAATCTGGTACTTGTGCTTGGGTTTGAGCCATTGGCCTTGTTTGGGTTATCTTTGTAATAGGTTAAATGTCTTCCAAAGTTATATAAATATATATACTAGCTAAAGTGCACATGGAATGCACGTGAGTAAATAAGGACTTTTCACTGGGTTAGTGTCTTCGATGGACTTTGGAATGCCATGCTTTGACTCTCTGCATCTATTAATCTAACTTCCAACCCTTCTTGCTTTGTAAAAAAATAAAAAAAAAATTCTCACTAGCACCACCATCACTATCATCCCTACAACTACACCAGCGGCACCAAGTTATAATTCGACAGTATCATACCATTTGGTTCCAGTTGTTTATTTATGGAGTATTATATACAATTAATGGCAGAACAAATCGGAGTGGCGTAGCGGAAGCGTGGTGGGCCCATAACCCACAAGTCCCAGGATTGAAACCCGGCTCTGATACCATTTGTAACGACCCACTCCACCACATGGTATGATATTGTCCGCTTTGGGCCTAAGCCCGCACGGTTTTGCTCTTGGGTTTCACCCCAAAAGGCCTCATACCAATTGGAGATGACACACTTACATATAAGCACTTCACCTTTCCTCTACCCAGGCGATGTGGGACTGTGTACCCATAGCTCGTCAGTGTGGTAGCTTGATAGTGTCTCTCGCACCCGCCCACAGGGTCATCACAATCCACCCCCCTTGGAGGCCCGACGTCCTCGTCAGCACACTTCTGACTGGGTCAGGCTCTGATACCATTTATAACGACCCACTCCACCACATGGTATGATATTGTTTACTTTGGGCCTGAGCCCGCACGGTTTTGCTCTTGAACTTTTACCTCAAAAGGCCTTATACCAATTGGAGATGACACACTTACATATAAGCACTTCACTTTTCCTCTACCCAGGCGATGTGGGACTGTGTACCCGTAACTCGCTAATGTGGTAGCCTGACAGTATCTCTCGCACCCACCCACAGAGTCATCACAATCCACCCCCCTTGGAGGCCTTACGTCCCCGTCGGCACACTTCCGGCTGGGTCAGGCTCTGATACAATTTGTAACCATCTAGAATTTAAATTACTAAAATTTCACTTACCTCACATGAGCCCCTGGCTCCCCTCAACCAGTTGGCGTTCTAATGCCAATACCTCACACAAGCCCTTTGCTCCACTCCAAATGGATGGTGTGAATTGCATAGTCCCTGACCACCAAATACACACATGTGGCTGGGTTGTACATCTACTAACCCAGATGGCCCCTGACCACATCCACATACTAAGGGCACCTTTAGCCTAATGGCCATAGCAAAAGAATAATTTCACTCCCGAAGATAGTCCCTGACTATGCTCAACAAACTCATTATTGGGTAAGTCCCTGACTATCACTCCAACTAGTTTAATTGCTTCAATTAAATACTAATACATTTAAATAATTCATACTCATAATATTATGAGTTTATCAAACACCTTAATTATTAATTAATTAATTAATTCATTCATAGATATTAACATACCAGTACCAACTCAGTAGTCTCAACCTTAATATCATACCATGTGGTCCCAATGCAAACCCAGTTCCTCTCAAAGTAATGAAAAGTGAAGAAGATGATCCTGAAGAGGATCATAAGGCGGAGTCGCTGGACCATAAATGAAGGTACGTCAATTTCGAGGGCGAAATTTCAATTAAGGAGGGTAGAATGCAACACCCAGATATATATATTGTGTGTGTGTGTGTGTATATTGTTCTTGAATTCATGTTTTATCCATATAATATATATCTATGTGGAATTACAAGGGATACGAGGGTTATTGTAACTATCAATTGAAATATAATCAAATTCTAATAAATCAGTAATTCCATGTGTAATCTTCATATATAAGTCTAATTAAACATAATTATCATGAGTTCTATAATTATTTAAAATGGTATCAGGGCCTAATTCACTTATGTAAAAATTATTACAAATAGTATCAGAGCCTGACCCAGCCGGAAGTGTGCCGATGGGAACGTCAGGCCTCCAAGGAGGGTGGATTGTGATGACCCTGTGGGCGGGTGTGCCGTGGGTGGGTGCGAGAGATATTGTCAGGCTACTACACTGGTGAGCTACGGGTATACAGTCCCACATCACCTGGGTAGAGGAAAGGTGAAGTATTTATATGTAAGTGTGTCATCTCCAATTGGTATGAGGTCTTTTAGGGTGAAACCCAAAAACAAAACCGTGCGGGCTTAAGCCCAAATCGGACAATATCATACCATGTGGATTTAGCTTGCAAAGGAGGCTTAATGGGAGATGGAGATTTTTCTGGATTTTCCACACTTTGGTTTTATTATTGTTTCTTAACAAACACTTTGTAATAAGTTCATTTTGTTGGTGGAATTTTTATTAGTTGGAGATGTAATAAATTTTTTTTGGATTGATGGATTTTTAAATAAAATGTATTCTTACTGTTTTTATCGAGGATTATGACGGATGAAAGATGTGAGTCGGACAGATTTTAGATTTTAGTACAAGACAAGGGTTTGTGTTAGAATATTTGGGACGTGACAGGCGCCACCATCACTATCATCCCTACAACTACACCAGCGGCACCATAGTGGGCAGCGCCACAACCACCACCATCTCCACCCCACACCTGCGACACCATCCAACACCACCGGAACCCTCTCTCTTCTATCTTATTGTCTCTCTTCAATCTCCATGTTCGGATTAACTCTTTTTGCAATCTACTGAACCATCTGCTATGATTTGAAATATTATTCAATCTATCCAACTATCCAAGTTCGTATTAGTTTCATAAGATTTCTTTGTCCATCCACATTATTGATGTAACCTGTAAACTATATGTGTACAAAATATACACACACACACATATAACACCTAATTAAAAAATCGGAATAGGCAGTTGATGTGGGTCTACTGCTTGGGCAATGAAGAGTCTTCTAAGACCCAGAACAAATGATTCAAATTGAATAGTGCCTGTATTATGTTGGTGTGGGTCTTGTTTGATCGCACCGGGGTAAGCAGCGATCTTGATTCAACAATTTGTCACGGTTTAATCGGGAATTGGGTTTCTCCGGGAGAGTAGGACAGGAAGGTTTTTTTACCTTGCCGGCAACGCCTATGTGGATCAGCTGTTGGCTTGTGGTTCTGAAGAGAGAGAATGGAGAGAAAAAATTATTCTTTTTCCTTTGCTTACATCAGCATGGGCATTTTGGAAAAATTGGTCAAATTTGATGATTATGGGGCAATTTGCTCCAAATGTTGATAATATAGAAAGTTATATGCACTTAATTTTTAATAAGGGTGTTTGTTACACATTTTCTATATAATGAAAGAGTTTTTCGCACTTAAACTTTTTATTTATTTATTTTTCAAAGTGAGGTTATTGCTTTTAAGTTTAGTGCCATTTTTATCACACATTTACATCTTATCATTTTTATTTTTTATTTTTTTCACATATTAGAGAGTTCTACAGTGAAACAAATTTGACTAATTTTATTTACATGTAAATAATATGATAACATTAGCCTCCACTTATATAAATCAATTGAAATTGTCTGACTTTCGAAGTTCAAATCATTATTCAAATTAAATTCATTTTTCAAGAAAGACTCATCTTTTCATGAGAATTAAGTTCAAATTTCCGTTTAAATAATTATCCAAATTAAATTTTGTCTTTCGAGGAAAACTCATCTTCCTATGAGAATTATGCTCAAATCTCCAGAGAGCATCGTGTAAGGTTTCACTTTTTCTTTTTTCTTTTTGTTTTTGTTTTACAAGACTCAAGACAAAAATAAATAAATACATAATAATAATAAAATACATAGGGGTACTTTTGGCATACGGCTTACAACGGTTCAAATTGAAATCCATGCTATTTGAGGTTATATAAATAACTATGGCAGTTATTTTTCTTAGGAAAACTCGTTAAAAATGTAAATATATATTTAGAAATACAGGTGGATTACACACATAACAAAACTACAATTAAAATGTTAAATATATATATATAGAGTAGTGATCTAATCTAATGTTATATAATTGTTGTGAGATACCAACGGTGAATGTTAAAAAGTAAAATTTCCTGCATGAAAACTGCTTTGTATTTTCCAAGTTGTAAAAAGCTGTGATGGACTAAGTGCTTAAAGAGTTGAAAACTCAACTAGCATTCAGAATCAATACTCTCCAAGGCATTTGCAAACATGAAAAAAGTCGTGAATTTTAAGAATACTGACAATGCAAATCTGGATATAAAGCTTCAACTATAGAAAATAATCACCTACAAAAAAAAATTCATATATACAGAAATCCGTGATATTAAGTTTCCATACAAACCTATGTAGCATGGATGCCTATTTAGCACGGACATGGACATGATACGACATAGATATCTCGATACGTAAAATTTTTAAAAAATAAAACACGAGTACAATGTTAACACGACTACATATACATATAAATATAAATTTTTATTTTTATACTTCTATTCGGTAATAGTGTTATAAAACTTTAATTCATTTATAATTTTCATACTAAGAGTTGTTCTAAAATGAATTTTAAAATAAAATTATGTCATTATTGCAATAATTTTTCTATGATATATACAAATATTTCACTATTTTGTCAGGATAATATTCATATTATTCTTAAAATTACTTGACAGACTTATGTTAGAAATGTCCGAAAAGTGTTGACGAAGTGTCTGGGAAGTGTCGGCGAAGTATGGACACGCATATGGAGTGTCCGACACGTATTTGAAGAGTTTCTGAAAAGTGTCAGTCCCTGACACAAGTACGACACAGGTACAGTTCCTTCGTAAAAGTGTCCGTGCTTCTTAGATGCTAACTGACCACGATTAGCATCAAATATTTTTATGATTAAGCTTAATTACAATGAAAACCAAAAGCACAAAAAATCCACACCACCTACAAATATTTAACCTAAACAACAAATCACCGAACAGTTTCAGCCCCTCTTCACATAAATACGATAAAAGATAAATTCCATCACCTTGGAGGCTAATCCAATAAATGGTACCCAGAAAAATGGTTATACCAGAATATCATACTCCTCAAAATTAATGATTTCAGAGTAGGCCAAAATTCTGTACGCACAACAAAGATAGAACCTGACTATATTTTCAGTTAAAAATATTCCGTTCCTCTTTCTTTGCATGTCCATATGGATGCCCAAGCCAACGCATAATAAACACACACACGGAAAGAGGCTAAACAAGATACTGATTATGTCAGCCATCGATCAACCATGGAAGCATCATCCCAGGAGGACAGGAAGTTACAACACACAGCTACACCAGAGGGAAAAAGTTATAATCTTAGAACACCAGTACCTGCTCAAGGAAGGGGATATACAAGTATACCAAGCACTACAAAATGTGGTGGGGAAAGAACAATATCTGAGATATTTGTTTGCCCAGCACCAAGGCTTCCGCTGTACAGTCTTCATCGCCTGTTCATGGATTTTTTTTTAAAATTCAGACTATGCAACTTCTTCTTTCACCGTCGCAGTGAAGTGTGGAAATCTTACTGAGGAAGGGGAGGAACAGGCAGCAATAGGACCATGAGCAGAAACCTGTTGAGGGCACAAAAAATATTATGAAAACATAGACAAGATTTAGAAATTCCTTTCAGCATATATATTAATAATTTTAAATACCTGATGGTACCTCTCCTGAGCTCCTAGTAAATCGGAATCTTCCATAGGCTCAGGTCGCGAATTACTGCCTCCAGAGGCTTCTGGAACTTTTTCCATGCTCATATTTTCCTTTGCTGGGCTGATAGCTTTTTGAAGCTGTTTTTCCTCTTTAACTGTAGCTCTAAACGAACCGTGGGATTTTAGCCTACAAGCCTCCTCGAAACCTGGAGGAATGTCGGGGCATGATTTCATTTTCAATTCTAATAAAGGAAGTTTATTGGTGAAATCCATCTTTGTTGAAACAGTTGGATTCTTCACATCTGACCCACGTAAGGAGATTGAAGTAGCAGTTTCTCCACAACCTATTTTAATTGATTCTTTCAGGATTGCGATATCAACTCTTCCCACATCTTTTCCACCTACCATGTCAATTTCCATGTCAACAACCTCACTGTCCTCCCCAGTAGCAAGACTATCATGTGTACTGTCTGAAGCACAAACAGTTGGTATTTTCCCATGTTCCTTTGATATAGCTTCATATTTTTTCATTCGACGAAAAACTCCCCATAAAAAGTATTTCTCATTCAATCCTGTAATAGCATCCACAGATGCAAACGTAAATGTTATGATATCTCAAGGGACTATAAAAGCACAAGTCAAAAGATGCAAATTTGTCATGTATTCTGTTACAAACACATCTATTCTACATTTTACATGGTCCTCCTTGGATTAGCTATTTTGAACCAAAAGACACCTATTTAAGAAAATAAAATTCAAGCAGTCATCTGATAATGTGTGTCAAGAGCTCATCCAGTCCAATGGTTCACCTATGCCTTAATTTTTTTGCTTATTTTGTAATTCAAACCCCCCCAAACACACAGAAAGAAAAGAAACGCATGGACATGACTTCAGCATTGTTTCTTTCCTTCTTATCAATAAATAAAATGTATTACCAAGTAAAAAGAGAACAAAATTTATTCTCCACCCCACCCACCCACCCCCCCAAAATATATATATATATATATATCACAGAGACACGTGCGCAACAAAACCGCTAATTTCACAAACTCCATATGCTATTTCGCTCAACAGAATGAATATCAATTATATTCACTGCCTAAGCCAATGGATGGTGTATTGAGCTACAGAAACATCGTATTAGTGAAGAAAAAAAAATTGCAGAAAGAGAGCCAAAAGTGTAATAATCATATCATTCACATATCTATCCCTAAAAGAGCAGTAAGAAAAATGTATATTATAGAGAATTGAGAGCTAACTCTGAGAATTCAAATGAAGAAGTTTAGATGTCAAAACAAGCAATTCTATGCCATCCATGTTACTTCTCATCACCAAGTCATGCCTCTCTATGTACTCCAGGAGGAAGACATAATCCTCAGATCTACAACTCAAGAGAAAGCATGTTTCAATATCTAAAATAACATCAACTGTCAAGTAAAAATATATCTACAGTCCAAGACTCGGGTTTGAGAACAGACCTCCCACTATCATGAGAGAAGAAATACAACGCAATATCATCCGTATCAGGATAATCATTCCGGAACATATCAGTCCAAAATTTGCAACGTGGAAGCAGCTCAAACTGAAGAATTCTAGGCATTCGCTTAGAGAACTCGTATACTTTTTGACGAACTCTGGATGGAGGATGAGCATGTAACCCATCAGTGAGTTCCCCATGTTTAACAGGATCAAGAATTTTGAAGCTTCCCCTAGAGAATGCAAAATAATTATTGTTTAAGGCATACAATAATATAAATTGCGTTTAAAGAATGTGACATTTAAATGCATTATTATGCATCTTGATGAACAAAATTTTATTCGGAATTGTGAACCAAAGTTGTTAAATGAGCAGGATCCAAACAGTATTATAAAATGCCTGAAGTGGATAAAATAATTCTTAAGAAACTACAAATAGAAAGAATCAAGTCTGAGCCTCATACATATGCTGTTTGATAAAACTGAAAATTAAGTACTGAAGTTTTTAAGTGGTAATTGAAAAATAAATATTTTTTGATTTTTGAATTTTCAGAGTTCAGCATTCAGTGATAAGTTATGTCTGTGTCACTTAAAATTTAACTTGTTTTAAGTAGCACTTACTGATTTAAGTGATATTCAAATTGCGTTACCAAACACACTTAATTGGATAAGCGCTCAATCTGTTCAGAATTAAGAACTGAATTGAGTTATCAAACAGCATAAGTAACTACTCAAAAGTATGACAAATAATTTAGGTCAACGGAGCTTCACATATCACATGTAATGTGTTTTTGACAAAAAGAGCTTCTTTGCATTCATCTGAAAATCAATAGTAGGCAACCAAAAAATAGACGAATTTGCCACCTATAAAGCAAAAAGAATTCCAAGGTGAAAAATCAGAATTTAACTTAAAAATAATAAAGTGATCGTCCAAAACCGAACTTCTAGATTATTACTAGCTACAAATACACACTCGTGACAACATAGTCAACAGAGAGAAATTTCAATGATGGAGAAATACCCAGAAAGTACATTTAAAAGATAATAACTGAAGATGATAACAAATATAAAACAATCAATTTCTACAACAGTATAATTTTAGGAAATTTTAAATTGCCTTCTCAGGGAATTAGACTTGAGATCCATTTGTTTAAAAATAATTCATTTCCTAATAGAAACTGTTAACCACTATCCACTCTAAAAGCTTAAGTTGCTAGAGAGGATGTAACTTTAATACTTAAATCATCTAATATACTCCCTCACATGAGGCCTTCTTTTGGTCCAACATATGTTTCAAATTTTTTTTTGTTTGATAAGTAATAATTTAATTAAATAGTTATTTACTAATACTGACTGATGGAGTGGGGATTCGAACCTGGGCCTTTGGCCACAATCAACACATGTCCTACCACTGGGTTATCACACCACATTCCAACATATGTTTCAATTTTAATTATCATAGTGATGATGAGGTATGAATTCCGGACCTTGCCTGCTATAATACCAAGTTAACCATTTACTCTTAAAACTTCAGCTGTTAGAGAGGGTGTAACTTTAAAATTTAAATGTTCTAATAGAAACTATATATTCCAGTCCAAAAAGACTACATGATGTTAACTAAACTAGTTTCCGGAAATAAAAAAAAGTTCAGATCATATCAGGTTCTCAGAGAATTTAGATGAAAAATATTCTCAATAATTGTATTGAAGTCGTTTCCACCACTTATGTCTCCATATTCACCAACGAATGCTTTATTTTCCCCGAAGATAATATTCACAGCAGAAAATGGAACCACTAAAAATGGTAAATAAAAGATTAAGGAAATATATTTTGCACTTGTTAAAACACTTGTATGTATATATGTATTTATGCTGGGGTCTTATTGTAATTAGATATAGGGTTTGTGGCCATTATGTAAATAGGCCTTTCTTGTATTGTATATAGCCCCCTTTATGGTTTAGGGTTAGTGTAAGAAATATGAAATGTGGGCTGCGCCACTCTCAGACATTCTCTCCCAATCTCTCTCTATCTCTATCTCTACCCTACACACAATTTCACATGGTATTAGAGCCATACGAAACAATGGGAAACTAAGATTGTGGTTGTGATTGCATGTTTGTGTTCTTGTACAAATCAAAATCGAGATCGAGGTTGATTTTGTTCTTCGCCGAAGCTCTGGTCCGTTGTTCTCAGATCTAAAGCTCGTTTTGTTGGCCGGAATCATCTTGGCTGTCAAAACAGAGGTTCCATCATCGCGAACCATCTATGCTCGGTAGTTAGGACGCTTCTTGTGTTGGATCGCCGTCGCGGTCGCCGATGCCGCTGCAAGGCTCGGTAGTTAAAAAGCTTCTTGTGTTGGATCGCCTTCGCCACTGCCGCTGCAAGGGCTAGGGTGTGTACTAGCCTCGATCCTCCATTGCGAACCTTGGTTGCTGGAGTTAATCGCCGGTAGCAGATTTCTGGTTCTCGTCGGCGGTGATCGCGGAGAAGAAGAGACGTGTTTGGTTGCAGGTGTAAAGCTATCCCAAACCAGGATATGCTATCCTGACCCGATTTGGCTCCGGATCTTCTTCTTTTTCAGATTCAACTCTCTTCTGTTCTTCTCGGTGCAGATTTGGCATCAGTATGACAACTTGAGACAGATAAGTTTTTTGTTTTCCAGTTTACATACTCATTTACTTTGTTCTAGTAGTTTCTTTTTGGTATTAAATCCATGTCGGAAGATTCAACTGTTGGCTCTGGGTCTACCGGAATTAAATCTTCTGCAACACATGTTGATAATGTCGGGCTGCAACTTACATCGATGAAATTAAGTAACTCCAATTACTTACTATGGGCCCAAGCAGTGAAGATCTTTTTAGGTACCCGACGAAAGCTGAAGTTTGTTATAGAAGATCCTCCATCTAAAACATCAGCAACATACGATGATTGGGAAACTGATAACTATATTGTTATGTCCTGGTTGTGGAATAGTATGGAAACTTCCATTGCATCCACCTTTATGTTTGTCAACATTGCAGAGGGAATATGGGATGCCGTTAAAGAAACCTACTCTATAGACACGAATGTTTCTCGCATATATTCATTGTATGAGAAGATATTCCATTCTCGTCAATCTGATCCCTCTAGTCAAGGCTGGGGGTGCACACGGTTCCGGTCGAAACCGGAACCGGAACCGTTCACAACGGTTCCCAAAAAACAGAACCGAACCGGAACCGAACCGTTTCGGTTCCATGAGAACCATTAACCATGAGTTGTTGAGTTGAGAGACAGCGGCTGAAGCTTGCAAACCCGAACTGGAACAGCAGCGATGGGAACTGAAAGATATGGGTTTTGATTTTTTGAACAATCTGAAATGATATGCCGATAAATATGGGTTTTGAACTTCTGATTCTTGTAGATTTTGTAGTTTGCACAGAGAGAGAGAAAGAGAGGGGCAAGTTCAGATCTGAGAACGAGAGAGAGAGAGAGAGAGAGAGAGAGGGGCAAGTTCAGATCTGAGAACGAGAGAGAGAGAGAGAGAGAGAGGGGCAAGTTCAGATCTGAGAACGAGAGAGAGAGAGAGAGAGAGAGGGCAAGTTCAGAGTCCAAACCATGAAAAACTGTTGTGGCTTTGTGTGATTGTGTTCTTTTGCATTTTCTGTGTGCGCAATGTTATTTACACCACCAGTCCCTGAAAAGATCCCTGTGGGATTGAATTGTTCCATTCCATATGAGAGAATAGAGATGGACTGATGGAGGCGATTGGTTTAGTCAAGTTCAGAGTCGAGAGAATACAGATGGAGGCGATTGGTTTAGTCATTACCCACATGGCTGCTTCTAGGCCTTTAGTTTAGAATAACTAATTAAATATATAATTATATATATATATATATATATACGGTTCCGGTTCTTACCGGTTCCCACGGACTGGAACCGGAACCGGAAAAGATCCCTGTGGGATTGAATTGTTCCATTCCATATGAGAGAATAGAGATGGACTGATGGAGGCGATTGGTTTAGTCAAGTTCAGAGTCGAGAGAATACAGATGGAGGCGATTGGTTTAGTCATTACCCACATGGCTGCTTCTAGGCCTTTAGTTTAGAATAACTAATTATATATATATATACAGTTCCGGTTCTTACCGGTTCCCACGGACTGGAACTGGAACCGGAACCGGAACCGTACACTTATGGTTTCGAAATTAAGAACCGGGACCGGAACCGGAACCGTGAGAACCGGAAAAAACGGTTCCGGTTCCCACGGTTCCGGTTCCACGGTTCCGGTTCTTTTGTGCACCCCTGGTCAAGGCATCGGTGAGTATTACAGTACCTTCAAAAGCTTGTTAGATGAGTTGAATCAGTACCATCCCTTGACAACTGATCCTGAGGTTCTCAAGCGACAACGTGAGGAATTTTCTGTGTCCATTTTTCCTGCTGGTCTGCACCCCAGCCTTCAAAAATATTCGAGATCAAATCCTTGCTGGTGATGGAGGACTCCAATCGTTGGGTAACACTTATGCCCGCTTACTTCGGGTTCCAGAACAATCACATGTGATGCCCACTGTGAAAGAAAATTCAACTATGATGATTCCTTTTATCTTTCCACAATCCTCTAGAGGTCGTGATACTCCTAGTGGCAACAGAGGGTATGGTGGAAATTCGAATAGTTCTCATGGCGGTAATGGCGGTGATAGAGGTCACAGTTGCCGTAGTCGTGGACGTACTGATACTCGCTTCTACAGCCACTGCCAGGGTACTAACCATTCTGTTGAGAACTGCTAGGCTCTTCATGGGAAACCAGCATGGGCAAATCAAGCAGTGTCTTCCTCTGACCTAGCTGGGTCTCAGCCCTCTCTTGGTCAGACTTCTGTATTACCATCACCTGTATCTACTAGTGACAACGTGACCTTATCACTAGCACGAGCTGAGTTCAATGCCTTGGTCAACCGGACACATCCCAACTCTAATGACGTGGTTAATTTTGCGCAATCAGGTAATATTGCATGCTTGTCCGATTTACATACTTCAACATCCCCTTGGGTTATTAACTCTGGGGCTTCTACCCATCTCATGGGTGATGCCTCTCTATTTTCTAATTTTCAGAAGTCTAGCTCCTCATCTTTTGTTACTTTGGCTGATGGTAGAACATGTTCCATTATTGGCCAGGGAGCAGTTAAACTAACCCCATCAATTTCTTTATCCTCTGTGCAATTAGTACCAAATTTTCCCTTTAATTTATTATCTGTAAGTCAATTGATTCAAGCACTCAATTGTTTTGTCACATTTTACCCTTCGTTTTGTGTCTTTCAGGACCTCAACACGAAGAAGACGATTGGTGGGGGCACTAACAGAAATGGCCTATACTATTTGGATTGCAAACCTTCCGCTGTTGCTTTACATTCCCAAATGTCTGTATACCAGTGCCATTATCGGTTAGGTCATCCCTCGTTGAAGTATTTGAAGTCTACTTTACCTTTCCTTGAGTCGGTGTCTACTTTAAATTATGAGTCTTGTCAGTTGGGTAAGCACCATAGAGTGTCTTTCCCTCCTCGTATTATTAATCGTCGATCTTCTTTATTTGAATTAGTGCATACGGATATTTGGGGTCCTGCTCGTCACACTAGTCACTTAGGTTTTTCTTATTTTGTTGCCTTTGTTGATGATTTTTCAAGGATGACTTGGTTGTTTTTAATGAAAGACTATTCTAAACTTTTTTCCATATTTCAAATATTTTAAAAAGAAATTGAGGTCCAATTTGGTTGTGTTATACGCACTTTACAATCTGATAATGCTATGGAATATGTCAAAGGTGCTATTTCTAGTTTTTGCGACTCTCGTGGTATTTTGCACCAAACTTCTTGTTCTTATACTCCTCAACAAAATGGCGTAGCCGAACGGAAAAATAGGCATATAAATGAAATAGCTCGAACATTGATGATGCATATGTATCTTCCAAAAGTATTTTGGGGCAATGTTGTTTTAATTGCTTGTTATTTAATTAATCGTATGCCATCTTCGGTTCTTAATTGGAAATGTCCTTATTCCTTTGTTTTTCCTACTCGGCCGTTATTTGCATTGCCGCCTCGTGTTTTTGGGTGTGTGTGTTTTGCTCACATATTACGTCCTGGCGTTGATAAATTGTCTCCTCGTGCCATTAAGTGTGCCTTTATTGGGTACTCTCGGACTCAAAAAGGTTATAAATGTTAGGATCCTACCACTCGTCGTGCTTTTGTGTGCATGGACGTTATCTTTTTTGAGGATACTCCTTATTTTTCTTCACATAGTTCGTCTTTAAATACCGAGCTACTGCTTCCGTTGCCTGCTGTGTCACATTCATTACCCTGTGACCCACCACAACCACCTCATGTGCCACCGCCACTTCAAGTGTATAGTCGTCAATCACGAGTAGCACCCCCCCAATTGTCTACTTCCATTGAGGCTCCTCCTGCTACTATTGATCTTCCTATTGCATTACCTAAGGGTATTCGCTCATGTGTCACTGCACACCCCATATCTAACTTTGTTTCCTATAAAAAGGTATCGCCCTCATTTTCTTGTTTTTTATCCACGTTATCTGCGACTGCTGTTCCGAAAACTGTGTATGATGCTCTATCTGATACAGCTTGGCACAAAGACATGATAGATGAAATGGATGCTCTTCATCATAATGGGACATGGGACCTTGTTCCCTTACCTCCCGGTTCCAAAATGGTTGGTTGTAAGTGGGTCTACACGGTCAAATATCTCCATGATGGATCTGTTGAGCGATTGAAGACTCGCCTTGTTGTAAAGGGATACACACAAACCTATGGTATTGATTATGATGAGACTTTTGCCCCTGTTGTGAAGATTTCTTCTATCCGAATCCTTATTTCCATTGCCGCCAATTGTAATTGGCCGTTGTTTCAATTAGATGTGAAAAATGCTTTCTTACATGGTGACTTACATGAAGAGGTTTACATGGAGCAACCACCTGGATTTGTTGCTCAAGTGGAGTCTCGTTATGCTGCATGTCGTCTTAAAAAGGCCCTGTATGGATTGAAATAATCTCCAAGGGCTTGGTTTGGAAAATTCTCCGAGGCGGTACTTTCCTTTGGCCTTAACAGATGCCAGACAGATCATTCGGTATTTAACCAACATACTAAAACTGGCTTTATATTTCTTGTGGTATATGTAGATGATATTGTTATAACAGGTGATAATTTTGACGGCATTGCAAAGTTAAAATTGTTCTTACAGAATCGGTTTTACACAAAGGATCTAGGCAAACTCAAATATTTCTTGGGTATTGAGGTTGCTAGATCCAACGAAGGTATAAGTCTATCTCAAAGGAAATATGTGTTGAACTTGTTAAAAGAAACAGGTATGTTAGGTACTCGCCCTGCTGATGCTTCTATGGACCCAAATATAAAATTATTACCTGATGAGGGTGATTTATTTGACGATCATGACAGATATCGAGGTCTAGTTGGGAAATTAATTTATCTCACTATCACCCGACCTGACATTTCATATGCAGTTAGTGTTGTAAGTCAGTTCATGAGTGCTCTTAGAGTACCACATTGGAATGCTGTTCTTCAAATTATTCGATATCTCAAACAAGCTCTTGGATTATTATATAAACCTAATGGTCATCTTAATGTGACAGGTTTCACAGATGCTGACTGAGCTGGTTCTCCCTCAGATAGGAAATCTACTACTGGCTATTGTACATTTGTTGGTGGAAATCTTGTTACATGGAAAAGTAAAAAGCAAACAGTTGTAGCACGGTCTAGCACTGAAGCAGAGTATAGGGCGATGGCCCCCATACCTCTAGTGAGTTAACGTGGATACAGCATTTTCTTGAAAAACTTGGGTTAATAGTCAAGACTCCTATTCCACTGTTCTGTGATAACCAAGCAGCTATTCACGTTGCATCCAATCCAGTGTTTCATGAAAGAACCAAGCACATTGAAGTTGATTGTCACTTCAGAGAAAATATTGAGTGGAAACATTTCTACTCCATTCGTGAAGTCTGAAGATCAATTAGCTGATATGTTTACTAAGGCTCTCGGTCATAATCGGTTAAAAACGATTTGTTCCAAGCTGGGATTATATGATATATATTCTCCAGCTTGAGGAGAAGTGTTAAAACACTTGTATGTATATATGTATTTATGCTGGGATCTTATTGTAATTAGATATAGGATTTGTGGCCATTATGTAAATAAGCCTTTCTTGTATTGTATGTAACCCCCCTTTATGGTTTAGGGTTAGTGTAAGAAATATGAAATGTGGGCTGCGCACATTCTCTCTCAATCTCTATCTCTATCCTACACACAATTTCACAGCGCTCATCTTCCATGTTGCATGTCCAAAGAATATAGGTAGAGGTGTGAGAAAAGGAAAAAAAAAAAAAAAGGCAGAAAAATTAACTGTAGTATTAACTTAAGGAAATTCTTGGAAGAACAAATGTTCATTAACTACCGGTGCATGTAAAAGTTACCCACAACCCACCCCACCCAAAAATAAAAAATAAAAAATATATATATATAATTATAATAAATTAAGGACACTCATTCATTAACTTTAAAGGCACAGATAGATGACTTCGGACAGGTTTACTCACTTCCAAGATGCATCAAGAGCCGGATGACTCGGAAAACATTTGTCAGCTTTAAGCAACAAGTCCCCATTCTCAGCACTGGAATTCCTTGGCTCCACCACATCAGTGCAAATGTTATCACCTAAAACGTAGAAATTCCCCATTTAGTGAAAGCAATTTGACACTCAACAAATGATTCCAATCAGAATAGTCACTAACTCTTGTATATCACGTGACACTTTCAATAACATTGGTTTACCACCAAAATGATCAAACATCTGGATATCATAATGATTGCATTATCTCATGCATCTCTGAGCCTGTATCATTTTATTTAAATACAATGGAAATGTTCTTCAAATTTTTCCAATTAATAAGAACAATAACTCAGAAATAATTGTGGTCCTACTTTATGACCTTTTTGGAAAATCTTTTAGGAATCTTAATCAATAAAGATACAGGAATAGGACATGCATAAACTCAAACAGTCAAATTAATAAGAGAACTTTAAGGTTTTCTTGCCTGAACTGACAATAGTTGGACAAAGTTTTGACAGTGAAGATGCATACGACGCGTTACACGTTGCCTTTTCTACATTTGTGCAAGTAGATTCAATTTCAACAGCACGCTTAAGGACAACCATGGGCTGTCCCTTGTGAATAAGTGGCGTCATCGGAGCTAGAACAGCTCTATTTCCTGAAAAAAAAGGTATCACAAGAATAACAGTTGCACCCGTAGAAAAAATACCTATTTACACTACAAGCAAACAAAACAAAATCAGAATGAGTGGTATATGCTCAGATTAATACACCCCTTCATTGGGCATACCATTCAGATGAGACATACGTTTAGCCTCTAATAACATTCTAAAACACGAATACTTGACTGAAAGAGTACCAAATAGATTTATTTCGAAACTTGAACAGAAAAATTTCATGTCAGTTTATATATGATACATGTAAGATAGATAACAGATAGCTCACATTGTTAATACTAAATCGCCGACTCTCATAGTCAAGCCTCGAATCTATTTGATAGATTTTACTACAGTAGTGTACATTAGTTAAAAGGAACTATAAAACTGGAATCTTAAATCCATCCATCTTCTGTCAAAAAAATGGGAAGTTTGTAAAGAGCAAGTAAGTTTATAGTTGGCAATGACAATTATAGACCTTATTGACTTTTTACTGAGTAAGCCAGAAAGTTTGCTTAGTTAACCATGTCTTAAACCGAGACACTAAATCCTAGAAACAGAGCCCTCAATTTGCATTGAGAAAGGACAAAATTTATAATTATCAGGAATGGTATGCACGTCACCTCAATCTTTCTTTGTCTCTATTAGCAATAGTGAGTTCAAAATTCTATGCACAAAACATGAAAAGATTCACCTTGTAGTTCTTTTGATCTTTCAGTTGCTTGTGGTTGAACTACTGAATTGATTTGGTCGTTGCCATGTCTGGGAGGCTTAAAATGCTCCGGGAGTCTAAACCTAGGATTTTCTTTGACCTTATACAAGGAGAATTTTGGATGAGTAGCTTTGGTCTTGACTGGAGTCCTCATGGACATAGATACCATAGCTTTTGATCGCCCAGGGCTTGAGTGTAAATTGCCCTTCGAAGGGGACTCAGATTTCCTAGCTCCTGAAGCTAGCATTATAACTTCTTGAGCAGAAATTTCTTTCACTTTTCCAGTAACAGTCTTTTCCATTTTAAAACAAATCCGCCTCCCTGAATTATCTGCAAGTTTCTTCGAATCTGCAGAACATGTAGTATCATGGTACACTGCATTAGGCAATTCTTCGTTCACGCCAGATTTCAGTGAAGCCGTCTCAGTGCTCAGTTCACATGCTTCACAAATCCAGACTTCTGGTACATCTGTGGTATAGATTTTCATGCAGTAACTGAAAATGGGGAGAAACAGAAACATATTCAGAATAAAAGTTGAAATGTTAATACGATTTATGTACAACAGATGCTACTGTGTTAACATCCTTGATTAAATGCAAGAAAGAAAAACTTGGATCAGCCATTTCACGAGGGCTGAGCAACATACGAAAGTAATATGAACAAAAGTGCATGCATAAAATCTACCATGTTTTTGACAATTTATATTTAATGTAGAACATGACACAGTGAACATAGTTAGACAGCAAAATTCAAGAGACCACTTCAATTGATCAGTGATTGAACCAAGGCAACTGAATTTTCCCCATTCCAAAACCTTCAAAGAATGTCATGAAACATGATGTATTTCTTTTCACTTTAATAGGGGATCTTTAGATAAATACATTATAAAGGAGATCTCCAACATCATCTACAACCAAAATGGACTAACACTAGCGGCCTCCCCATGTTTTGGTAGACAAAATAATTCCAGCATTGAGGGTATATGCCTTTTTGTAAACAAAGCAAAACCTTGAATAGAAAGAGAGGAGTGGAGGACTACAATCTACAGTCCATGAGAGCACTGTACTGCATTACAGGACCTTTTTCCCCTTACATCCAATCTACTAGGCATGCCGAATGCCTCTCTCTCTCTCTCTCTCTCTCTCTCCCCCTCCCTCTCTCTCTCTCTCTCTCTCTATATATATATATATATCACAAACAGAGAGAAGTGATTCACTGGAAATTTTGTAGCCCAAGGAGAAACCAAGTTTTCAATTGATAATTACTGATGAGCATGTTGTGTAGACAATGACCACTCTAGATTTTGCTTTAACTCAATTTGTTGCTAGTATGAATTGGAGATTTCATGAGACACAGATAGAATTAGTCTTCCTTTGGGTGTCCAAACATTCAGTGACACTTAGATTCTAATAATTTGATACCTACATTTCAATTCTTCTAGAAGTTAGCAATAAATTATATTTTTCCCAGCATCTACAACTAAGCCATGAATGTTAGAAAGAAAGGGGAAAGGGGTTAGGGGAAGAGAGAGATTAGAGCGGGTTATTATACAACTCATTGTCTTCTTCATCTTCTAATACTTCTTGATCTAGACCACAAAAGGAGAAGTGAGGGAGAGGAGAGGACGAAGTCAGAGAGAAGGGTACTGTACAACCCCATCCGCTTAGTCCTCTTCTGAATCTTACACTCAGAAATCCATTTTGATAGCTTGAAGAGAAAATTGAAAGGGACTGAAGTATCCTTTTTGTTGTTAAGTAGAGTAGAAGGGCAGAATCATTTTTCTGAGTAGAAATATGGGGAGACTACCACAGTTATCCATTGTGGTTCCCCTATAATAACATCAACATTAGAAACCAGAAAAGTAAAGCTAAGAATATGCACACGTGATGAACACACACGCACATACACACACAAACAGAGAGAGAGAGAGAGAGAGAGAGAGAGATCTTACAGGTGTTCACAAGCTATTCTGCACTGAGAACAAGTAACTATTGCCTCCACAACACCAATATCACCGCATATATCACAAGGTTTATCCTGCACAATGGAATTATGATAATGAGGAATTCTAGATATCATTACCTCTAAACAGGTCCTTAGCTGTTTGCTACAATTTGGAACAAATGCTTTGTAAACTTCTGGTGTCTGTAGAGCCATTTGTGACACCTCAGTCCCAATTAGTCATCCATCATAATTACAGTCCCACCCCAGTTAGGACTCTTTAGAATACATCTGCTAGGATTCAGACTTCATAGAAGTCAGGCATCTAGCACCATCGCCCTGAGAGGCTCCAAAGTCAGCTCGTAATGTGAGTTTTCCTCATTTTCCATATCTCCTAAACAACAACTGATGTTCAATCATAATTAAAACTTCAAATCAAACTTTAATGTAACCGACCTTAATATCAGGCTACATTGAGAAGCACTAAACATGTCCAGAATTCAATTGGTTGCCTCAAACATGGTTTCACACAACAATCAAGGCAAATCACGGCCTTGGACTAGAAAGAATCCCTCGCGTGCACTTAGACCACATGTCCAATTCATTTAGTTAACACCCATGCACTTAACAAGAAGAATCACTTTCCATAAACCCATGAGGTCAACATCTAGTCATCATTGGCTTCGGTGTTGTTCTCATTACGAGTATATCAGGCAGGCAATCATTCTCCATCATTATAAGATTGTCTCCCATATAGATCCAGATCTAGTCTTGCTTATAAAAGGTAAAAGCAACAATGAATCTTATAAAATTATAAATCTATATCACAACAAATTTTTAATAAATAACGCAATATAATTTGGCAACCATGGAGCTGGGGAAGTTAAAGTAAGAACTCTATTGTGACATTGTCCTATGCATAATAATGAGCTAGGAAGCATGGACATGGGTACGACACGATACGGACACAGTGATACCATAAATCTAAAAAAAAATAAGACATACATAAATAATAATAATAATAATAATAAAAATAATATATATATATATATGTATATGTATATTATTACACAATTTTTCTTTTCTATTTCTCAATAATAACATACACATTCTAGGAAATGCCTCCACTTTTCTTCTATTATTCTATTTCTCCACTTTTTCTTCTTCTTCTCACCTCCTCTCTCATTGATGTGGCTTACATTTTGATATGAGAAGTGACAACAATGGTTCAGGCAAAAGAACTAACAGAAGATATGAATACACTAATGTTGATATTGGGCTTTAAAGCCTAATTTTTATATTTTCATTCCCCCATTAGATTTTAAAATTCGAGCTGATCCCCATAGTTTTTTAAAAAAACATTTACAAACTGACCCCATCGCAACCCAAAACGTGTCTCGACTGTGTCTCTGCGTATCCGAGCTATGTCCCCTGTGTGTTCACGTTTGTGTGCGACAGCGACACCGCCACGGCACCTCTGACAATGTTTGTGCTTCCTAGATTATGAGTGTATGCATAGTCATAGGCATCATTGACTGAAAAAGGTTTATTAGAGCTGGACCATACAACAGCATCATTCCCCATTCCAGAAGGAACATGTAATTGACTAATCAAGGTACCAATATCTCTAATGTTCTCAGCATGAGAGACAGGCTATTCCCATCCTCTATCAGAAATTATGTCAGCAACCTCGGCATAGCCTAGCATCTTTTTATGCATAACCAAACCTCTGACCTCACTAATATGATTCGTTAGACCACATGAAAGCCAATATAACTTACGGGAAGAAAAAAAAACCCCAATATGCACTAAAGGCCTTTCATCAATGAATTTATTCGTCATATACATTTCCTAGTAAATAGGCACCACATCTCAATAAATATGACCTAGCACATCAAAAAATCGAGCCCCTCACGATTTTTTACTCTTTCCATTTTGTAGCAAAAATTCCATTTTCCTGTAAGCAATGCACCTTCATCGACTCCATTCCAAACATCGCTCTGTCCCTCTTTGGTAAAGAAGAAAAAGTAGGGTGCAAGAGTTTGAGGAATGAGCGTAATTCACTTAGCACAACATTTAACAGGCATCTTTATATGCATACACAAATAAATTTAAGTAGGTAATATAAAGTCATTGCAGTATAAACAAGCTAAGTGAAAAAATATCATTGTCTGAAGTCATTTTATCAAGATAAAAATATCAAACAACTAACACCAAAACCGAATGTAGAAGTCAAAAATTTCTACTTGGAAACAGGACTATAACCACAAATATTGGGCATGCAAACTAAAGTCAAAAGTTTAAAACTCAGATAAAATTTTAAGCAAATATTAGATGCAGGGAATTACAAGAAAGTGCACCTAAACAATGGATATATATCACATAGCTTAATAACATAAAAGTTCATTATCCCATGTATGTCCTACCTATATGGGGTGCTAGGAGGAAAAAAATGGAGATAGACCTAACATTTGACATTATTTTGCACAAAGTGACTACCCTCAGACTTGAACTTGTGACCTCGCGCTTATTGGAATTAATATGATTTTTTCCAAAAAAAAGAAAAAATGTGTCATATTTTCACAACAAATAGAAAGCATATTTTATTTTTCATATATCTTGCATTAGATGGTGAGTTACTATTCAGGGTGCTGAATATTATAATCCTTGTACTATACGAGGCATTCAACACCAAAGTATCAATGAACATGCAACTTGGACAACAATGGAGATCAAATCACAGAATGGAGTACAGGATCGTGTGAGGAGTGGATTTGTGTCAAGAGGTAATTAGGGTTTCTCGTGTGTATAAATTGTTAACCTTGGATGTAATATCCCTTTCAAATAATAGATTTGAGATGCCTGAACTAGGCCCCATGGTTTTTCCTTGCTAGGGTTTTCCACTTAAAAATCATGTGTTCTTGTGTGGTTGCATGGTTAATTTATTTTCTACTCTCTACCTTTAACTGATTTATATATATATTTTTATAAGTACCTTTAACTGATTTATATTGCTACATTTTAAGTACAATTATAGTTTAAAAATAAGTTATTGTTAGTTAAATTGAACAAGATCATTTCACCCCGTCTAGATCTATTTTGAGCTTTGCACCTTGCACTACTCTCAAAACGGAGCCTCGGGTTATGGTCCTGCACTTGTCAAAAACAAAAAGGAAAAATAACTGAATGCAAATAAGGCTCCTATCTCAAAACTCCTTGATTTTTTGGTTTAAAAACTTGGGTTCAAGATTACAAATAAAATTTTGAAATTTTGTTGTGTAACTTAAAAGATCATAGATCTAGCCTCTAGATTATTAAAGGAGTTTTAAGGAAGCAAATGGAGAATGCAAAATAGGACTAAAAAGAAGTCACTATATTCTCGAGCTAATAGGCAGCTAAAGTTGGCTGTTATAGGCCATTGCATCTCAAAGTGCTGTTATATGACATTTGTAGGCCGTATTGGCCACTACAAGTGATTGCTAGCCTCACCAAGATTATGGGATACAATAGTTTTACTTAGTACCTATGATTAGGTCTGTCAACGTATCGGATTTTGATCTGAATCCGATCCGATAAGTTGGATACAGATTGAACAGTTAAACCGAAAACCTGTTAACAATATCCATATGGATCGGATATCTGTTAGTTAAACAAACTGGATATGTATTATGGTCAGTTTGATCCGATAATATCCAATCCAACATAATATAATGGATAATATGTTATATATATATTATTTAATGCTATAACATAGTATCTAAGTTTTTTATCATTATTTTTCTAATTCTTTTCTCTTTCTATTATTAACTACTGCATGGTGTTTTTTCTCAAATAAAGAGTTAAAAAAATTAATTTTCAGCTCTTCTCATGTCCATATTTAATTTGTCTTCTCCGTATTCTCTATCTTTTTTTAATCATTGTTTGCGTGCCCTTTTGATATATATATATATATATATATTAACAAAAAAATCATACTCTTAAAAAATAGAGTTATTGGATCAAATATCCAATTAATAACGTATTGAATATGGATTCCTTGGTGAATGATCCAACGGGTTATCAAATCAGATTGGACCAAGAAATAATCTTAGCGGATTCATATCAAATCAAGTCTCATCTGGTCCGAATATGATCCTTTTGCAGGTCTACGTATGAACATCATGTTCGCAAATAGTTCAATTAATATTAAACAATAATTTTAAGTGTATTCAGATGAGAGGTATAGAAGTTTGGAAAGGGACCCCACACTGACGAGTTTCTCCAATTTTAACTTCAAACCAACCCCTCAAAGCTTCAGCTTTTCCGGTTATGCTTTTGGGTTTTTCTTGTAAGAAAATTTATCCAGAAATTAGATCCTCCTTCCTTCTAATTTATTTTTCAATTCAATTATTCTTTTCCAATTAATAGCAACGAAAAGGACTAATAAATGACCAAAGAGAATGCAGTGATTTTGGTTACCATAGACGAAGAAGATTAACATTTATGTTTACATTCAACAAGGAAAATAGATTATTTACTGACGGTAAACACAAGTATTGGTTACAATCGCATATAATATAGTAAATAAACAATAATATCTCCTAAAACAGTTTAAACATGCATAGAAAGAGACAAAAGTGAAAGCAGGAATCTATACAAGAAATGGAAATTAGAAATAAATCCCCAAAAAAGTACTTTGTGCAAGAACTGCAGATATTTTGGAAATTGAAGCATTAAAGGAATCACAACTATAAAACTCATATCCACTCAACTCAACAATGCATTTTCCCATCTAGGGAATCAAATCTACAGCAGTTCAGAGAACATTTTAGTGCTTGAAAGGTCAGAGTTGCTGAATGCTGATGAATCTTCACCTTTATAGCGGGAAAGGATCCATCCACATATTACCTTCCTTGTCTCAGTTTCAATTTTACATTCTCATTATTGCTACCAATCAGAAACTTTCTGAAAGTATTACTAATTTTAGTTGTAGTAACTTTTGCTGATGATTACTCCCATACTACATGGATAATTTTGTGGAACATGATCAATTTTAACTTCATGATCAAAATATGTTACCCCTATTAGGACAACAAAATTATGTACAATGGCCAAGCCTTCTGTAAATTTTAACTTGCAATTGAACCTCAAATTGATGAGCCAAATCTTCTAAAAAAATGTGGCTGACAAAGTGAAAATATTAATTGGCTAAAGTTACCAATGCAATCCCTATAGCCTCAAGAAAAAGCACGTTCAAATAAGAGAGGAATATCAAAATTGGTTTGATCTCAAACCATGCAAAACTGGGCCTCATGGGATCAAATTCGTTTCCCTTTAGCAATATATATTTTTTTGGGTTCACATAACTATGGTGATATTTTATATTACCTATATATAAGTATGGCTTTTTTATTTTTCAATTAGATTTTCTTAACTTTAGGAGTCAAGGTTATTTTAATAATTCTAAAAATTTCAAACATAAATGATATCAGTGGTTCGTTTGTCATATTTAAGGTTATGTTATTGACTTACTGGGTCTTATATGGTTTTGGGTTGCCAAGAGAACAGCCATCAAATTAAGCTTGACTTTCATTCTGATTTTTTCTTCGAAACACTATGGACAGTTTTGGCAAGAAATCAAGAGGAATTAACAGCCTCCAATTACCAAAAACCAAGGATAGAAGCACTCCTGTGACTGACATCGAAAGATAATACAGACGGGACTCTTCCGAGATCTTCTTTAGCAGGATGTCCTAATCGCAAAAAAAATTGTAGCATTATACTCATTCTAGAACACCAAAAACAGTGCCAGGATAGCACAGTGCAATGAGATCTTAACTCCCTTCTGTCCGAACCTCCAAATGTCATTTCAAGATACGTTGGAATATCTAAGAAGCAAACAAGCTAAAACCTGCTAGAGCAAAAAGTCTCAGCCAAAGGTCATAGGAGACATTACAGTGAAAAGATGGTTTAAAGTTTCATTGTTCTTTCTGCAAACAACACAACTGTGTTGGCTAAGAGATTTGTTAGGCCTTCTAGTCTGAAGCATCTCGTTGAACTTTTATATTGAGCAACAGCAAACCAAAGCATTAACTTTAGAAGGAACACTGACTCTCCAATCGAGATTGATCAGTTGAAAAGGAAAAGAGTTTTCTAATTTTGATAGGAAATGGAGAAAGATTCAATAGAAAGGGGACATCCGAATCCAAGCATGAAGCACCAACATTTCTCATCCTCTCTTGAAGAGGAAATACAAACATCTTCTATAGATATTAAGACTCAAAATTGTGTGAGAGCGTTATAAACAACAAATTAGAAACAAGAGGTCAATGACGTGAAGAAATTCTAGAGATGAGGAAATAAATTTTTGTATTCTCTCCCCACTAAAGATCTTTTCCAAACCAAACTCTGCAGCTACGTCCAATGTAAAATTTAGCAACAGAAGAAATCAATGACTACTAGCTACTAGGTAAGCTTTTCAAGGACACAAATGATTATTCATAAATCATAACATCTTGGCCAGGATCCCCACCCGTCTGTCTTGAAGACCATACTTAATGCTAATCACAACATGCCACATAGAGCACTACCAGAAACATCCACATTATTTTCCTTAACAGAGCATTGTTCCTCAAGACTATATTTCCCAATCGTAGCCCACTTTTTAAGTCCAACAGTCTCACAATTCACCAAATTATTTCTTTATTACTCCATGCCTCAAACCAGAAAAAGTTTTTTATTTTGCCCCCTTTAATCATATCTGCAACAAGGGGGCATTTTTGAAGGGGTAAGTGAGGAGAGAAGGGGAGGGGGAAGGGTTTAAGAATATACATGTGGATGTCGAAACCAAGACAAAGTAAGAATGTGATCCTTACCGTAGAGATAATCAAGATGTTTAGATACCTTTCAACAACTGGATAACGAATTCAAAATGACCTAAACTTAATGCAAAACTAAGATATTTGAGAGGCCGCTCACTTAGACACAAGCTAACCTTCTTACCACGCAATTTTCCTTTTTTTCCCAGAGTGGAATTTTCTTTATTGATATCATGGGACTTCTATTTATATGAATTTTAATCCTAGAGGCTCCTTCAAAAAGCTTCAGAATAAATCTCAGATTGCAAACGTTGATAGTTGTGTAGAGAATGTCTAGAACAACAAATGGGTGAAATTGATAATGGTGGTAAGCGGTAAAGGTTGTCACCATGGCAACAACAAATGGGTGAAGATTATAATGGTGGTAAGCAGTAAAGGTTGTCGCAATGGTGACACCATTAGTGATGAGAGGCAATGCAATGGTTGTGGAGGTATGTGGGTGATGGTGTTAGAAATGCATAATAAGTGAAAAAAACAATGTTTTTATCTAGGCACTGAGGAAGTTTTTTGTTCTCTTGCTTCCAAATTATTAGTGTCAAGTGCACTTCCAAACACAAATTCTTTATTATTATTATTATTATTTCGTTTTATGTACATTTTTTTGGTTCCAAAGAAAAACTAAATTTAGATGCAAATTAGATGAAAGATATTTTTCTTTGACATAAGAACAAAGACAAAAAAGCTAAAAAATCAAAAGAACTATGATAAGTCAAACTTCAGAGGTCATAGATTTATTCATAAACCACAACTACAACAGGTTCTGCCTCCTTCATCCCGACCTTTACCGCTATAAATATTTAGTAAATATTTTTGTTAACACTGACTATTTCCAAAAGAAGGTGGAAGATAGCACTAATCATCTTCTTCAATACTACTTGGCTTCTAGGGGGTTGTGGTCTATGCTCTAAATTTTTTCAAGGTTTACTTTGTGATGCCTTGGTTGACTGAGAATTTTTTTGGGTTCTTCTGTGGGTACATAATGTAGCAAAAAGGTCAAGCAGGTATGTCAGATGACTCCTTTTTGCCTTGTGTGGTGCATATGGAAGGGGTGGAACAGGTACACATTTAAAGATTTGGACATGCCCATGTATAGGATTAAGCAAATGATCTTGGATATCTTTCAATTTTGGTGTTCATAAATTTTTGGAATCATTCTCCTTGTTGATTTTCTTAATGACTTATCTTTTACAGAAGGAGTTAGGTGGTTACTTCCATATTCACGGTGTACATAGGTTGCATCACCATAGGCACTTTTGTCTATAACATTTCTATTATCAAACCTGAATATATATATATATATATATAATATGGCTTTTTGCTTACTAGAAATAACTCTCCATTGCATACTGAATGAACTCCTTGGAAAACCCTACACTTCTAGAAGATGCAATTAATGCAATCACATCTTGCTTTTAAGCCTAACTTTCAAAAACTGTATCCCATTGTTTGATCTAGTTAATGCATTCACTTACAAGCTCATTGATTTTACATGATAACAGGCACATTATGCAACATCCCAAAGAGGAATGTGGCGACTCTTTTGTGGGACGGAGGGGTAAATTTGAAACTTCACTCTCTTTTACCTAGAACAAATTAAGAAGGTTTTAACATGGCTACTCTCTCATATGACTTTTGGTGGGAGGGAGTGGTAGAAAAGGAAAAGATAAAGGCAAAAAGGGAATGCATAATGGAGTTTTCATCTTTTGGTAAGAAGGAAAATGAAAGGGGAAGATATGACAGGGGATTTAACTTCGGGCCTCCAAATCCTCTCTGCCCAAAGGTGGAATTCAGGAGGAGAGAAAAGATTTCCTCCCTTTTCTTTTTATGTTTTTGCCCTTCAAAAAACCTTCGTTGACAAATCAAACAGTATCAGTTTTTCCCTCCCTCACTTTCATCCAGTTACACCGAAAATAAACAGGCAAATACAGCTTCTTTTCTCTAGGCATACAAATTTGCATCCCTCCTACGAATATTCACATAGCAAGAAAGTATTGAAAGAAACCCAAGTGTATCAAAATTACACAAAGCACAACAACAAATTAAGATAATCAAAGCATTACAAACAAATTAATTCTTAGAACACAGAAAATGTTTTAGTGAATAAGAAACAAGGTCAAAATGAAATTTAATATGGCATGCAACAGAATTGAATATGACCAAAAAATGCATATAGAAACTAAGAAAAATGGACACGGAAAGGAATAATAAGCGAGACAATACAAAAATCTAACAAATAAATAACCTAATTAGACATACCCCATTAAAGCTGTAATAATTTCTCAAAGTTAAAAATGGAGGTAAGAAATCAAAGAAATACTAGGAGACATAGTGTGCAATAGGAAAGAACATGAAAAGATAATTAATGTGACCAACAGGCCAGTGGCCTAGCGGTACCAGGCCCTTACTTCCCAAAGGGAGGTCATGTTCGAGCCTTAGTGGAGTCATGTGTGTGTGAGTATCAACTAAGAAAAAAAAGATAATTAATGTGCCTGACCCATCTATATGGGATAAAAATTAGTATAATGACAATGAAATCAAATAAATAACATAAGAAGTAAAGAAATTACCTGATGAGAAAGTTCCAATTTCTATGTAGTAATTTTATCTAAAAAGGGATCACTGCTTGTTGTAAATTAAATTTGGCAGTCAATCTTAAGGATGCTCGTTCATATTTAGATGCAATCACTTTGTGCAAAATAATGTCAAACTTCAGTATTTTCTAGTCTTTCCCTCCTACTCTCACTACCCCCACATAGATACATATACACTGTGCTGTGCAGTGTCTTCTATGCCTATAAATTTCTAGTTATTGAAACTGAAGTAAAAGTTGAAATTAGAAAAACAAAAAGAAACAAATTATAAGCCATTCTCAAGCCATAAGAAAAGTTGGAATGTGTAACTAATAAAATAAAATAAAACAAAAAATAGCAACAACGAATTCTGAGTAAGCGTAACTCATCTCAACAAGTCCAATCTACAAAGAATAAAATCAAATACCAATATATATTCTTCACAGGATAACACGCGCGCGTGCACAAACACACACACATATAAATCACCCATCAGCGAATTACTACTAATTTACTAGACATATATAATACATATACACATAAAAATAGACGATATAAAGAAGTGCAGAAAGAAAAATGTGCAGAGTGATGGAAACTAGGGTTTCTTCTTCCCTGAAGCAAAACCCGTCTCACCGTCAACACACACATATTAATATATAACAGCAGTCAAATAAAAAGTCATTAATTAACTATTTAACTAAGCATGAACAAATATATGTATATAAATAATATAGACACACATATAATGTATATAATTAACTATGCATGCGTAGAGTATCATTGAAGAAAATGTAGCAAGAACTAAGACGAGAAGTAGAAAAAGCAACAGTTTTACAGTCTATGATGATGATGATGATGATGATGATGAGAGTAGACTGATATTGCGGTTTTTTTTACTTTACCAAGTGGGTCTCCATTTTCCTCGTGGAGTGGAGAAGAGAGAGAAAGAGCCTACAGACGCACGCCGACAAGACGAGTATATGGAGGGTCCTACTTCTACTCTGTAGACCCAACCCACCCTGAAGACTCACTCACGCCAACAGCGTGACTGATATCAAGGAGAGAATCAATCCTTTGCTGCTATTTGGGCCTAAAAGCCCAGCCGAAAGGGCTGGATTGAGAGTCCAGTGCATAAATGGCTAAAGAGTGTGGTCAACATTAGACCCGGATAATCCTTAACCCTTTTTAAAACTCGATTCTATGTACATTATTGTTTCTTTTAAAAAATGGATCTTATTTAAAAAATGAAATAGTAATCAAAATATGATTTATCCATAAATGAAACACAACAAATTTGAAATATTTTAATTTTATATTTGGGAACATTGAATAGGCGGTTTGATTTGGAGGTATTCCCAAATCTTACTATAATGATATTTTATTATATTAGTTTATAATTCGTCTCCATTTAATAATTAATATTTTGATTTGAAATAGTAACGATTTTGTTATGATATACTTTGTGGAGTTCTTTTTTAATCTTTTAGAAGAAATCACAACGAAAGCAAAAATAAAATAGTTTAATAAATTAAGTATATTATTGGATGGAGCCAGGATTTAGTTTTAGGGGGCATAAAGTAGTAATTTAAAAATTATATACCTATATGTGTGAAAAAAATTCATTTCTAAGGGTATTTTTGAAAAAAATTAAATTTCAGGGAGGCACAAAGTAATATTTTAAAAATATTATACCTAGATATATAACAAAAAAATAAAGTAATTTAGTAAATCAACCCTACTGTTATAACTTATAATGGGATGATTAGTAAATCAACCCTACAATGACCGCGGTGATGACTGTTAAGAACGACAACTTTGGTGGCTTCAAATTCGAGAACAGCAGTAGGATCATTAATGTACGTGTCATGTATGAGAATGTCACGACAATTGGTGACATCAAAATTGGGATGAGATGTGTAGGGTCTAGAGATACGGAGCACGTAAATGTTGTTGCGGTACTGCAAGTGAGGATGAGGTCTAGTGGGGTGTTGCTAACGTTGGCTGATGAGATGTTGAGTAGTGATATCAATTCGGGGTTGCTGAGGCTGAGCAGCTATGGCAAGTTGAGAGGCGAAGTGCGTGTGATGAAGATGATCAGGACGCGTGCAACTGCGGAAATGAATTGCAGTATGTGTCTTAATTTCACCAGCAGAGCAATTCAGGATTTGCTATGCATGTGATTTTATAGTTTCCTCTATATGTCTTAGTTGATTCTTCTTTCTTTTTTATATTTGGCTTTTAAGATTCATTTAGTATTAAGTTGTTTGTAATATTTGTTCCAGTATGTTCATTTCTTGGAGAGAACTTATACTAGTGTGTGTGTGTGTGTGCATACATATATTCTTGGTATTTTTTTACTATTATTTAGCTGTATTATATTTTCAAGTCAGGTTCAACTAAGAGAAAATATAAATGTATTGTGTTTAAATTTAATAGTTAAGGGTAATTTATTGAAATTTATCCAATTCCCCAAACAACCATTTAGATTCATAGAAGACATCGGGCCCTTCAAGTTTAAGCGTGTGTGTTCTGTGGTGGTGGTAATGAGGGGACCAGTTTAACAACATCGCTGCCTCAATTATTATTATTATTTTTATTATTTTTTCCCAGGAAAATAAATTGATGAGAATGTGATTACCATTAATCAAAATCAGCAATTTCAAGAGCACATTAAATGCATGTAATGATTACTGATTACAACATATATCTATACATATTACATTTTTCTAACTCATTTTGTGAGGCTTGAACAAGGTTAATGCAGATACCACACCAGGATACAGATTTCTAGACCCAACCACCTTTATAAATCTTCATACAATTTGACAAAAACCAAAACATCAATAAGAAGTAGGGCTGCAACTTGGGTTGTTTACTGGAGCTGTTGGGTAAAAATACCAAAATAGTCATCTTCATTTGGTTGGGCCAGATCTGTTTGGGAACCATGGAAAGAACCTAAGCCTTCACTTCTGTTGGAGCCCATTTTTGAGAAGGCTATGGGATTGACATGGGCTAAAGCTTCCATGAGGGAGGTGATCGGTTGATCAATTAAATATCAACCTTCGCAATAGCACGAATCATTGTAAAATAGGGCTATTGGTCGGGTAAGTCGAACCACTGGAACTGCGCTAGTCTAAGGGAACCTAAATGTCTAGAATCATTCTAGAGTGATGAGGGGTTTATAAAGGGTTTGTGTGTTTGTCACTAAACTAAGAAATTAAAATGCATAAAACAATAGATTGCAATGAAATTGAAGAAGTGAGATACAAGTAGAAAAGACTGGGGAGATGAATTCACTCCAACCCTATACACATGTTAGATTAAGATTAAATTGGGAAAAAACAACACAAATGATGGTCATGATACATGGCAACACTTGGTTGCTATAGTATTTTCAAGAAGTTCATTAAATCAACAACAAGAATAATCCATCAAAGGTTCACATACTCAAGCCACCTAAATTAGGGTGTAGCCTTCACATGCTCCCTAAGCCCAAGATTATCAAGTCCTTAATGGAATGATGAAAGCACATAAAATTAGGAATTAAGCATAGACCATCAAAGGGGGATCTTAAGCAATGGACTATCTAAGTTCTCCAACTTCATGTCAATAAAACCATTTCATGATCTAACTTCCATTGTCACTATGAAAGTGTAAGCATTATGATTAAGAGAAACAATCATCTAAAACAAGAGAAATAACTCAAAATAATCATGTATAGACATTAAAGTTCATTACAACAAATATGATGCTCTAGATCATAAAATAACCAAAAACTATACATTGTTCTCCCCAAAATAAAATCTACACTAGCACATGCTTACAAGGGAGGAGCTTCATCACCTCCCTAGAGAAGATTTAGTTACCCATAGGAGCAATGGAGGAAGGAAGAAGCTTGAAAACCTCCTCCATTTTCGTGCTCCCTTCTTCAAGCTTGAAGAACTCTATCCCCTTGCTCTCTTCTTTCTCCTCTAATCTTGTAGAATGAAGCTTATGAGATGTGTGGCTCTTATCCCTCTTATCTACCACCAAACTAGGCTCTCTCTCTCCTCCAAAAACATCCCCAACCACCTCATAAAAGAGGGCCATCCACAATTGGAAATTTCAGAGCACAAGTGGGCTGTCTCGTGGAGCAAACTGCCCAAATTTCGAGTGCTCGAAATAGGGCCTCGAGCACACGAATTTAGTGTAAAAAGCTCCATGCTTCACTTGCTCCGCCCAGACCTACTTTGATGAAATGGCCATAACTTTGCGCTTTGAACTCCGAATGACGAACCGTTTGAAGATTTGGAGAGATGATTCAGAGATTTAAAAACTTCATGTTTTGATGAAGACCCAAATCTCAAGTCTGGTTGGTCGAAAATGGGGAGAAAGGCAGTACTTTAGTGCTGCCAGACAGTTCTGCGCACCTCTGGTAACAAGGCCATAACTCTCTGCTCCGAGCTCCGAATGACAAACCATTTGAAGATTTAGAAAGCTAATTCAGAGCTCTAAATCTTTCATGTTATGATAGAAGTCCAGTTCTTAAGTTTGCTAGGTCGAAAATGGCGACAAAAGTCAGGTTCCACTTTTGCCAGAAATTCAGCATTGTGACCTTTGATGTTCAAAACTCCACAAAGCATCCTTCTTGCTTCTTTTTAGCCAATGAACCTGAAAATATGCAAAAACGTGCATATGAAGGTAATCTACATAATTCAACAAACAATGGACTTAAATAATGCAATTAAGGCCGCTTGAATATGCAATATTCGGCGCTTATCACACCCCCAAACTTACATTTTGCTAGTCCCTTAGCAAAACCAAAATGAATACTTCAATGAAAATACAACCATGGGCATGCTACTACAAAAATATCATCCATGGTGAAATGAAGTGCAAACATAGCTCAAATACAATTTGAAACAACAAAAAACTGGAGATGGGGTCATTGGGAAGACTACTTTGCATATATGAAGCATTGATACTAAACACATTTCAACATGTATGTATCAACATCATAGACTATATAAATAACTCAATTATCATCTCTTGAATGGAAATCAACTCTAACTTCAGTGAAAATGAATTGGATTCTCAACATGCGGCTTTTACTTTCTTTTCCAATTCCAAAGCACAAGTTTTCAAATCATTGAATTCCCCTTTAAATGAGGTCCCTAAGGCATGATTTTATTTACAAGACAACTTTTGTTGCTTGTTGACAATTTATTGTAACTCAGAAGCGAAACATAGAATGGTTGTGCAATGCTGAAGTCCCTTAAGTTTTCTAACCAACCTATGTAGCAAGCGTTAGGCCAACAACTCCCAAACCAGATGGCTTTAGGGTGTTAAGTGTAGAGACACTCCATAGGGCTTAATAGCTCAAGTTGGAAAGGCTACGAACTCCAACGAACCATGTTTATTACCAGTTTATTTTTTGAATGACCGTGCAATGTTTAAGTCCTTTAAGCTTTCTAACCAACCCATATAACAAGCGTTAGGCCAACAACTCCCAAACCAGACGGCTTTAGGGTGCTAAGTGTAGAGACACTCCTAGGGCTTAATAGTTCGAGTTGGAAAGGCTACGAACGTCAACTGGTCATTATTTTCTTTCTTTCTCATCTTCAATTTTTTTTTTTTTTTTTTTGACAACTTATATCATGCCAAAGATATTCATTTATCAGGTTCATCAAATCAAATTAACTAGGCCAAGGTCAAGGTCGATCAAGTTGCATGCCTCACAGTTTAGTTTCCAATGTGCATATGTGCATTGTGAAGCTTAAAAGAGTGTCAAATCCAGTAAGAATCTAATTGAGACATTTATACAGACTAATTTGAATCCACATGATCATTTCAACTCAAATTTTTCTTTATTTTCAAAAATGTCAATTACTTCTATACACAAGGTATTAAACATATGCTTCATCTCCAACTAGTGTCAAGTTATACTATCATTGCTTAGCAAAAATGCAAAACAAAAAATGCATAAATGCACCCCCAAACTTGAATAACACAGTGTCCTCAATGTGTGAAGACAAGCATACCAAAATAAGAGCAAAGGGGGGAAAAGAACAATAATACCAAGTGGAGTGACGACGACGTAGATGTGCAGCCATGTGAGTACGCAACGGCGTCCCCCAAACTTGGACATGAAGACCTGAATTTTAGTACAAGATAAAAAGCCAAACAAAACACAAATGCAGACATTAGCCACAAGTTTAAAATAGATAACAAAATAGGGCCAAAAGTGGGGAATTTAGAGAGATGAAGTTGGCTCAGGAAATTCGTCAAACACGTGGTGTGCAAGACAAAAAGGAAGAGGGCCAAAGGTTGATTAGAGATGAGAAAATCCAAAAATTTGGCCCTGCAAATGCAATACACAACTCCCAAACAATCACAAATCCTTCACACAAGCAATCCCATCCTCCATTGATAAAAAATGGAAAGAAAAAGAGGGTTAGACACTTACCCAACAATGGAGAACACAAGGCCCATTATTTGTGGTTAATGGAAGATGTGGATGAGAGATTGATGGATGGGTGGGTAAGCAGGCATGGGGAGTGGAAGGAAATGGATAAGCATGTATAGAGAGGTGCATGCATGGTGGGAAATGTGGGGTGAAAGTGGTGGTGCATGCATGAATGCATTTCCTTGTGTGGTGGTTTGGTTATGGAGGGATGGAGTGGTTGAGTTGCAGAGAGAGAAAGATGGGTTGTGTGTAGGTTGGTTGGTTTGTGTGGATGTTGGTGAGGCTCGGTTAAGAGGGATGAGTGGTTGGTGTTGGGCTCGAGCACTCCAAATGGGAGTTGGAGTGCTCGAGTTTTGGGCAGTGGGTTCGGGATTGTGAGGATGGTGTAGTTGGTTCACACTTCGAGCACTCGAAATGGGACTTCGAGTACTCGAAGTCTTGGCAGTGAGTGAGTGAGATGTGGGTTGAATGGTGTGAGGCCAAGAGGGATGGTGGTTGGTTGGGGAGGTGAGATGCTGGTTGAGGATGATGAGGTGAGGTTGATGCGTTTGAGATGAAGGTTGTGCATGCATGGTTGTGGGTTAATGTGGGTTGGTTGAGGAGTTGCCGAGAGGGAGGAGGATGGTGTGTGGGGTTGAGGTTGAGTTGGTGGTTTGCAGGTGAGGGAGATGGAGAAGGTGAGGTTGGTTTGGTTGATATGGTTGGTGCATGGTGAGGGGCATGCATGCATGGGGCTTGGGAGTTGGTTTGGTTGATGTGGTGGTATGCAAAGATGCCGAGAGGGGATTGTTTGCTGTGAGGATTGGGTTGGCATGGTTTATAGGTGGATGCCGAGAGTGAGAGGTGTGCAGGTTGGTGGAGTTCGAGCATGGTTTGTGAGGTGGGTTGGTATGTGGAGTTGTGGGTGGTGGCTTGGTGGTGGGTTAGTTAAGAGGGACGGGTTAGTGGAGATTGCATGGTGGTGAGGGTGAAGCTGCCGGGTGGTGAAGAGTGGATGGGGAGGTGTGTGTGATGTTGGTTGAGAGACAGAGAAGAGCATGCATGATGGGCATGCATGAGGGGATGGTGGTGAGGTGAGAGAGAGAAGGAGTTGTATGATGAGTGTTGGGATGGTTGGGGAGAGAGAGAGAGAATGCTGTGTGTGCTAGGTTATGGGGTTAGAGAGGGTTGGTTGGTTTTGCCGAGGGGTGGCATGCATGATGTGTGGGGTTACTTGGGTTGAGAGAAATGAGAAAGAAAGTTGGGTTGATGAGACGGTGGTTTTGGTTGTGGGAGCTTTGGTTGGAGATGAGAGGAATGGCAATTTTCGAGCACTCCACAGGGGATCTAGAGTGCTCGACAATTAGGCAGCGAGCAGGGTAAGGAAATGGTGAAGTTTCGAGCACTCGAAGCTTGGCCTACGAGTGCTCGATTCTGAGGCAGTAGCTGCGGAAGTTGGGCTGAAAATTTAGAGCACTCCAAATGGAATTTAGAGTGCTCTAAAATTGGGCAGTGAGTGCATGCAAGATCGGTTCACATTTAGAGCACTCCAAATGGGAGCTAGAATGCTCTAAATGAAGGCAGTAGGCTCGTGATTTTGGTGTTGAACCTTGATTGCAGCTGCAAGGAATTTCGAGCACTCCACATGGAAATTGGATTGCTCTAAATTGAGGCGGTGAGCTAGGATTGATGCTTTGAAAGCTGCGAGCACTCAAATGGGAAATGGGATTGCTCAAAAATTGCAGCCAAATTAAAGTGAAGCTTGAAAACTAAAGCACTTGGCATGGAGCTTGAATGCTGTTGCATGGCCATGCATGAGTTTGCATGGATGGTTCAAGGAATGAGATCATTAATACATGGAAGTATAAAGAATTTGAGCAGTGGGCTCGGATAGGAAGGAATGCATGCATCAGAGAAATGCATGCAACTATGCATGAAATATAGAAATGCATGAAATGCATGCAAGCAAGGAACTTTGCGGATCATGATAAAATTTTTGAGGAGCATGAAATTCCTATGCATGCAATGTTGATGGATTCAAGCCAATGTATGGGAAAAATTTAAACGTTGCAACATCCTCTCATTCAAATGGATGGAAAATTTGAAAAGAACTCTCTCTCTGCTCCGAGCTCCAAATGACGAACCGTTTGAAGATTTAGAAAGCTAATTCAGAGCTCTAAATCTTTCATGTTATGATGGAAGTCCAGTTCTTGAGTTTGCTAGGTCGAAAATGGCGACAAAAGTCAGGTTCCACTGTTGCCAGAAATTCAGCATTGTGACCTTTGATGTTCAAAACTCCACAAAGCATCCTTCTTGCTTCTTTTTGGCCAATGAACCTGAAAATATGCAAAAATGTGCATATGAAGGTAATCTACATAATTAAACAAACAATGGACTTAAATAATGCAATTAAGGGCGCTTGAATATGCAATATTCGGCGCTTATCAGGAGGTTTCATACTCATCTTGGGATTTTGCTGAAGAAAGCTTTGCTTGGGCCTGGCTTTTGGATAGGAGGAAAGCCAAAGACTCTCCTAAGCCAGAACATGATATTGCAGGGTGCTTTGAGAACCATTCTGAAATTGCTTCTGGAGTAACATGATTGATAGAGAATTGGTCCCACCATTTGACTTTGAAAATCCTTCCTAGAAGAGGAAGATTAGAAGGGGTTTTGAGGATTTGGAATTGCCATAGAACTATCCATGACAATGCGAAATTTGCAAAAAATAAGAATGATTTGGGAAATTCGGAAAGCTCAGGAGGAGCTTGGAATTTTCATTGAAAATTGAAAATCCCTTAGACACTGTTGCAGGGATAATTTCTTGGCAGGGACCAAACATATGCCACCAGTCAATGAATCATCTGGGGACATTTAGATTGAAATTCTTTTGGAAAAGGATAAGCCATGAATGGCTATAATCTTGATTTTGGAACTAAAAGGTATTGTTCCAGGCATCCTGATAATCCCAGTAATTGAAAGTTTGAGGGTTGCGAGGCTGAGAAAATTGCCTCGGAGCATTGATGTTTTTACCCCAGGCTGTCGGAGTAAGGACTTTTTAAATGGTACATGTGGTGTGAGAAATGAAAGACTCATCACCCGGTTTTGAATGAGTTCGAATTTTGATGGAATCAGTGTCCACTAAAATAAACTCATAAAAATTTTGTGTTTTCCGAAAATCTGATGTTGGATAATGAAAACCTTTGACAAAATGATTTTGAGAAAGTAAAATTGGACTTTGGTTAAAAAGTTCTTTTTCAACCACACAAATGGTTGATGAATTTGGTTTTTGAAAATAACGAGATTTTTTAAGAGTGGGATTGTTGACCACCACTTGCTGTGAAACAGATCTTGAAGAAATTTGTTTATCTGATGCTGAAGAAATTGCAGCATAAGTTTTTTAAAGGGGAGGAAAAACTGGTTGTTGGGATTGTAAGTATGTTTGGATGGGGTCATACTGGATTGGGGACATGTCTATGACATGTTGGGAAATTGTGGCTAGGGCTGAAAACTGGTTTGTAATTAATGGAGATGGACTAGCATACATAGCTTCTTCATCTTCCTCGACTTTATCATACCAGGTTTTTTTGGGAGGGTTTTGAGAAGAGGATGATTGTGCATATGCATCTTTTGTTTTGTGGGGTTTTGTGCTTGCAACTGAGGCTCCTCTACCTGTTTTGGGAGGCATGGTAACCGCCCTTAAGCTCCTGCTTTTCCCTGCAAAAATTCCCTGGTGAGAAAATCAGGAAGATAATTGTTTTCTCCCTTAATATATTCAATATGAAAGTCAAATACAGAAAGAATAGCTTGCCATCGGGCAAAAATTTGTTTTGAGGCTATGTTATGAACATCTTTCTTTAAAACAATTTTTGTAGATTGGCAATCAACACGAACTAAAAATTTTTGATTTAGTAAATCACTTTGAAATTTTGAAATGCATAAAACTATAGATAAAATTTCCTTTTTGACTGTAGAGTAATTTTGTTGTGCTTGGTTCCATGTGCCAGAGGCGAACTGAACTAGTTGTTCCTTGTCACCTGTTTTTTATTTTAGGATACCTCCATATCCTAATTCAGAGGCATCGGTTTCCACAATTTTGAAGGCTTCTGGATCAGCAATAGATAGGCAATGAATGTTTTTTGCTTTGCTTTTAAGAATTCTGACTGTCTTTGTATGCTCATCGGACCATGGGGGAGGGGACTTTTTTTAATATTTAGCGTAGTGGAGCACAAAGAAGAAAAAGATCCTTAAAAAACTCAGAGAGATAATTTAGGCACCCTAAAATCTTTGAAGCTGGGTTTTGTCTTTAATTTCATCAGGGAATTTATCAGCAAATTGGATGGATCTGTTGATTGGGATGACAGTTCCTTGGTGAATCTGAAAACCTAAGAACCTAATCTTGGTCTGAAACAAGGTTAACTTTGATAAAGAAAGGACTAATCCATTATGTTTGATGGTTTGAGCAAATACATTGAGGATGTTTCCAATTAGCATCTATAGAAGAAGAAAATATTAGTATATCATCAATATAAACAATTGAAAAATTCGTAAGATGAATAAAAATATCATTCATAATTTTTTGGAATTCTGAAGGGGCATTTTTTAATCCGAAAGGCATCACATTCCATTCGTAATAGCCAAAAGGAACCATGAAAGCTGTTTTGTATCTATCTTTTTCAGCAATTTGGATTTGCCAGAATCCTGACTTGAGATCAAGCTTTGAAAAAACAGTTGCATGAACAAAACGTTGGATTAGGTCCTTTTTATCAGGCAGGGGATACCTGATCCATTAAAGAACTTCATTGAGGGGCTTGTAATTGATAATTAATCTGGGAACACCTCTTTCTATTTCAGCATTCTTTTGGACATAGAAAGAGACACAGCTCCATGGGGAACGGCTTTTTCGGATGAGGGATTTGTTCAATAATTCCTTTACTTCCTTCATACAATAATTAATAAGTTCTTGACTCATTTGGCTAGGACGGGCTTTGGTAGGGATATCTTTTTCATTGAAAGATTTTTCATAAGGTAATTCAACAATGTGTTGTCTTCTGTGCCAAAAAACATTTGGGAGATCAGAGCAAACCTGACTTTCAAGTCTTAATCTGAACCTTCGAATAGAGTCTTGGAGACTTTTTTGACTGAGTCGTTCATCAATCTGTTTGAAGACTAGTTCTTGTTTGAGAAAGTCTAAATGCTTTGTTTTGCTCTCAATCTTGTTGACAGTAGGGACCTGAGTAACATAGGAATCCTTAATGGTATTGAGATCATTGGTGTTTATAGGATGAGCAAAAGGAAAGCAAATTTCTTGTCCAACTAGACTTGTTGAAATGCTTTGGCTATCAACTTTGAACGGGTAAAGAAGAGATATGAATGGAGTTCCCAAAATAACAGGGGTATTGAGGTCTTTGACAAGGATGAAAAGTGTTTTAATACAAAGACCCTGATTACAAACATGGGCTTTGGTTAACTTGTACTGAACAGTGAGTCGTGAACCATTAACACTTTGAAGTCGTTATTTGGTTTTCTCAAAGTATTTCGTAGGGACAAGTCCTTCATTGATACAATTGAGATCAGCACCGGAGTCAATGAGAGCCACGGTATGAATGGTATAGTCTTTGTTAATGACAATTTTTAGATTAGCATGCCATTTCTGAAATGTTATCAGGGTCAGAAGGTTGATGTAAGTCTCATTGTCCTTGGTGGGGTTTTCAGAAACTTGTTGTTCGAGTTTTGCAGAGGACTTAGGTAGTAAGGCATCTATCTGGGATTGTTGAAAAAGAATTTGGCTTCTGAGGGTAAGAATATCATGAGTAGTGGAATCTTTCAAAGCCTTGCCCTCTTGCTTTAGGAGTGAAATCTCTTGCTTGGTTTGTTTGATTTCTTTATAGAGATCTTGAATTGTAATTGGCATCTGGGGTTGTGTACCAAATCTTTCAAAGATATCAGTAAGGTTGTAAGTATTTGGTATAACAATGGGAGCTTTGTCATTTCTTTAGCCAGTGCTGTTGGTGAATTTAATCAGGCATTCCTTGCGCTGATCAAGATCTTCTATTTTGTCAATGAGTTCCAACATGAATTCTTGGTCTTTAGTAATCATACAGATGCATTTAGTTTTGATAGGTTGGTCATCCAAAGATGGGTTAGAAGAATCAGAATCATAATCTGTATCAGCAAAATAGTCATCTTTTTGAATACCATTGATATTATGTTTGGATTCTTCATCTGAAGAGTTTAAAAGAATTTGCATCAGTTGGCTCCTGACGGTTTCAGGGAGATCAAGCTTATTGATCTTCTGTTTGGCTCTGCAATCGTGTTTGTAGTGACCCATCTTGCCACACTTGAAGCATTTTATATTTGCTTTAGAGGTGGCAGGCTTCTTTTGAAAATGTTTTGGAGGAGGGGCATTTTTCTGTCTATTTTTCTCAGAAGAGAGATATTTATCTGCAAAGGAGGGTTTGTTCTTGTTATACCATGACCTGTTTTCGTATCTCTTGGGAAAAGGCTTTGGTAGCGGGTGTGACTTTTTCGTTTAGAAAGAGGGGTTAGGTTTTCGAAGCCGAATTGTTAGCAAAAAGTTCCTAATTCCTTTCTGTTAGTGGCATTCTCATGCTTGATTTGCTGTTGGAGTTTGAAATCGGTGCAGAGAGCAATTCCTTCAGCTGTGATGGTACTGATGATGTCACCATAGGTGAGGGAGTCATAAGAAACATGGCCATTGTGTTTTGATCTGAAATGCTTGCGAATTCTCTCAGCAAAAAGATTGGGGAGTCCAGCAATGAACTTTTCTTTCCAAAAGGCTTGGTTACAATTAGTCCTGGTGAGGACCTTTGAGAGGAAGACATCCTTGTACCATCTGAAATCCTAAAGTTTGCGACATCGAAGGTTGGCTAGAATTTCTGAGGTCTTGTCTCTAACAATTGAGAGGTCACCTAGGAATTGTTTGGCGATAGAGAAAATAAGAGTAGCGACTGCATCTTCTATATCTGCACCTTCTTCTGTTTTGATAATTGTTCCTTCAGGAGTAATTTTGACAGAATTAAGAATGGCTTGTCGTTTATCTGGAGTGAGGATGTTGTCCCACCATCGTTTAAGTTGGCCTGTGAATCCTCCTACTAGGAGTTGTGCTATAGCATGATCAGAAAAGTCATTCTTGGTTTTGTAAGCAGTGCTGACCATTGTCATTTCTTGAAGTGTATTGAGAATGTGATACTCAGTTTTGCCATCTATGTTCCATTCATAAATGGTACCACCATGATAAGCAGCTTGGGAAAACTGGTCTCGTTCTTCGATCTGGAGGTCAGGGAAAGTTGGCCTGGGATAGTAGTTTCGAGAAGAAGTTGGTTCTAAAGTATTGACATGTTGGTTCTGGAAGACCTCAGTAATTTCATCAATTTCAGTATCAGTATCAATTTCTTGGTCAAGAGTATTGATGGCTCTAAGAGGTCTTTCAGGCGTATCAGGAATCGTAGTTGTGGAGGTCATAAGGGATTCGATACGCTTAATCCTGTCCTGTGCTTCTTCAATGGCACTACGTTTTGATAGTTGTTTAGACAAGTGTAAGGGGATTTCATGGGGTATGAAAGGGGGGGCATTATCAGATTAAATGGGGATAATTTGTTCTTTCTGAAGCAAGGTTTCCACACGAGAAAGCTGATCGCCAAGTGTCTGGAGGTGTTGGTTTGTGTAGTTATTTTGTTCCATGATGCTTCGGACATCACGGGTCGTGGATGTGGTATTGTCATTGGCGACTGCCTTTGTCTTGAAAGGAGAAGCAGTAAGTGTAACTGTTCCTGATGCCTTTGTCTTGAATTCGATTGCCTCGGCTAGGGGATGGATGGCTTCAAGAGTCTCACCACGTGATGTTTGCTAGGTAATGGTGGATTTGGTTGTGACATTTAAGGATTTGATTGTGGAGAAAGGAAAATCAATATTGTTGTCGAGACAATATTTTTCAAACCATGTGAAGAAAGGGGCTGAGAACATGTGTTGTATGCAGAAAGCATACCACTCTTATCTAATAAGGATGGTTTTTTAAGCAGAAAAGGTTTGGAAATACCATTGTCTTTTGGAATCATTGATCGCAGAGTAGAAATCTTTTCGTAAGAAGTCTTTATCGATCTCATAAACCTTTTCTATCATGTAGAGTTGATGAACCTAATGATCAGGATCTTCAAATTGAGAATCATTTGGGGATGGAGGGGAATCATGATGATCTTCGTTTAAGGGAGGGTTTTGCAGACCTTTGTTTTGAGAACTAATTTGGGTAGTTAAAGGAGTGCTGCGAAGAGTATGGATGTCTTCTTCCTCAGTTTGTATGCTAACATTATCCAGGTAAACTGGGTTAGCAACTTATTTGTTTTTGACACCAACGAGGTTTGGATATCTTGTAGGCATTCCTGAAAATGATTTTCGGGAAGGGGCTTTTGAATAGTTTGTATGAGTAGCATGAGAAAAAGAGGATCTAGGTCTTTCTATTTCTTGGATAGTAAGTCTATTAGGCCTGTTAGAACTAAATCTAACATTTACCGTGCCATCAGAAAATTGAGATATTTGTTCCAACCTTTTATCCTCGATCTTTGAAGGACGAGCCGCACACTCGAGAGTCCACTCTCCCGGAAAGGTGACTTCATTCCAAGTGATGGTTTTTAGAACTTAAGTTTGTGAATTTTTGTCACTAGCATGAAGAAGAAGGGTTTCTCCTTTGGGAGACTCACGAAGAGCATGGGGGCTGACTTGGGTTGTATAGACTTTGTAGTGGATTCTATAGACAACATTGAAGGGTATGGCTCCATCCATCATTTTATAACCACTACTTGAGACATTAAGGATTAAAGTATGAAGGATTGTTGGATCATCAAGAGCTACTGAATAATTTGGAAAACAACTGAAGTATTGTGTGGGCCATCAAAAAAACTAGTTTGGCAAACTCCTAACAAAGAGGTTTCAAAATCGAGATGCTTACAATCCCTTAGAGTAAGCATGATAGCAGTGTTAAGTCCCCTTGAGGTAAGAGGTTTAACTGCAACTTGGACAAGTCCTATATGTAGGAATTTGTACTTCTTTTTGTGTTCTACTATGGCTCTTTTTTGCAAAAGTTGGATGACTTCAAAAGGGTTTTTGAGAGAAATAGTTTGCTCAACAATTTTGATGGAGTATCCTATTTTGAGGTTGAAAGTTGAAGATTTGTAAATATCCCTAATGGGAACCTTGGGTATATTCCAAGTATCCCATTGATCATTCTGACCACTATCAATATGCTGTTCTTCTTATTTAACTATCACTCTTCCTCTAAGAGGAGCTGACGATGCCGAAGACATGCTACGGTTGAAACTCATTGAACCTTACCTAAATGACCGTCCGTCCGACCAACCCAAAGCGGCACACCTAGCCTAAACGGGATCTAGGTCCGGAAACAGAAATGTAGAAAGGTTAAATGGGCTTAATCACCACCACATGGCTCTGATACCATAAACACCCCAATTTTACTTTCTCAAAATCATTTTGTCAAAGGTTTTCATTATCCAACATCAGATTTTCAGAAAACACAAAATTTTTATGAGTTTATTTTAGTGGACACTGATTCCATCAAAATTCGAACTCATTCAAAACCGGGTGATGAGTCTTTCATTTCTCACACCACATATACCATTCAAAAAGTCCTTACTCCGGCAGCCTGGGGTAAAAACATCAATGCTCCGAGGCAATTTTCTCAGCCTCGCAACCCTCAAACTTTCAATTACTGGGACTATCAGGATGCCTGGTACAATACCTTTTATTTCCAAAATCAAGATTATAGCCATTCTTGGCTTATCTTTTTCCAAAAGAATTTCAATCTAAATGTCCCCAGATGGTTCATTGACTGGTGGCATATGTTTGGTCCCTGCCAAGAAATTATCCCTGTAACGGTGTCCAAGGGATTTTCAATTTTCAATGAAAAATTCCAAGCTCCTCCTGAGCTTTCCGAATTTCCCAAATCATTCTTATTTTTTGCAAATTTCGCATTGTCATGGATAGTTCTATGGCAATTCCAAATCCTCAAAACTGCTTCTAATCTTCCTCTTCTACGAAGGATTTTCAAAGTCAAATTGTGGGACTAATTCTCTATCAAAGATGTTACTCCAGAAGCAATTTCAGAATGGTTCTCAAAACACCCTGCAATATCATGTTCTGGCTTAAGAGAGTCTTCGGCTTTCCTCCTATCCAAAAGCCAGGCCCAAACAAAACTTTCTTCAGCAAAATCCCAAGATGAGTATGAAGCCTTCCTCATGGAAGCTTTAGCCCAAGTCAATCCCATAGCCTTCTCAAAAATGGGCTCCAACAGAAGTGAAGGCTCAGGTTTTTTCCATGGTTCCCAAACAGATCTGGCCCAACCCAATGAAGATGACTGTTTTGGTATTTTTACCCAACAGCTCCAGTAAACAATATTCTCAAAAATCATCATTTCACTTAAATAAAAAATAAAAAATAAAAATTTCTGACCTCAGTCATTCAATGCCGCTGCATAGCGACCAAAAAAAAAAAAAAAAAGGCAAAATCTACAGTTTAAAATTTTATTCAACAGTTCTCCATTTTCAGGCTTTTAGCACCTTTCGGTGTTCATGACAGACAAGCATTTAAAAAAAAAAAATCCAAGGCAAGTCAGTGGCCATCACCTCAATTCCAACATCATTCAGAAGACATCACCATTCCAACATCATTTAGAAGACATCATCATTCAAAAGACATCACCTCAATTCAGCCTTTCAGGCTTTGCACATGGCCTCCTGCTGCATCCTTATCACTAAGGAATCCAAAGCTCCCCAAGGCTCCTTCGAGGCCCTATAAATAACAGCTCCTCAAGACATTGGAGGCAGACTCATTTCAAGTTTAGATTTTAGTTTCCATTTCAAAAGTTCCCAGTTCAAATTGTAATTTTTAAGTTTAAGTTTTTAGTTGTACTTCATCCAAGGAGCTCGGCTCAGAACAAAGTGTTGTATTCAAAGATCAAAGTTATAAGTTCCATGTTTTAATTAAAAGTTCTTCAAAGTTATTCATATTATGTTGTTTAATGTTAACTTGCATATTTCCATATTTTATTTCATTATTTCGTTGATTATTTAACCTTTTCAATATTCTGTTTCTCTCATATATTATATATATTTGATTATATTATTATAAAACAAAAAAACAAAATATTTTTAGGCCAAATCATTTCAGCCCCCCTATCGCCTCCATCTCCATTCATTCTCTCTCTCTCTGCAACTGCAAACTACAAAATCTACAAGAATCAGAAGTTCAAAACCCATATATTTCAATTTTATCTATCTGTCTGCAAGAATCAAAAGTTCAAAACTCATATCGGCATATCATTTCAGATTGTTCAAAAAATCAAAACCCAGATCTTTCAGCCTCAAATGGGTTCGCCAATTATTTTATAAATCTTTTTAAAAATTAGTAAGATTTTATATATGGAATTGTTATCTTGTGACTTTTTTATATTTCCATTCTCTTTAATGGGGTTACATCCCTGTATGGATCTTAATAACTTTTGCACATGCCATGTGTAAATTGATGAACTATAATAAACGCCTATGATCTTGGAGTTTCGGAGGCAAAATATTCTCTATTTGTATGAGTAGCTAGGCAAGATCTGTAAGGTAGAAGGTAAGATAATCTTTATCTTGGTTCATTCAAAAGGAAAAACATATTCTCTTGCCATTTTTCCAAAGAATCGAGATCTGAAGTGTCAGATAAAGTTTGTGAAAACAGATCCATGCTTCCAATCTTGTAGACAGACGCTAGAATTTGGATTAAGGAAAAAGAAGGGAGGTTCTTTCTTAGAGCACTTCCCCTGTGCATCTTTTCTTGTAAAACATAAAGTTACAGGCGCAGATGCGACAGCAGCAAAGGGGATGGCGGCGGCGGGGTGGCGAAAGAAGAGAGAGGAGAGAGAAAGGAATTTTTTTTTTTTTTTTTTTTCTTTCGGGTTTTGGGTTGGGTTCGGGTTGAGCCCAAGCCCAACCCGAATATGTCTGGGTTTTGACAAAACTCAACCCGAGCATGAGCCCTATTTGTAAATTGAAAACCCAAATTCCAAAATTTTGGGTTGGGCTGGATTAGCCTGCCCAAGTTGCAGCCCTAATAAGAAGTAGACCAGTACTGCTACTTAGGCCGAAGTATTGAAGAGAATTGCTTAAATGAATTCGATTCAGTTATATTTTGCATAGATCAATCACGACAAGGATCTGGTTAAGTATACACAGTACAATAATTTTTTTTATAGTATTACCTACATATTTTGTTAAAATTTTAGAAATGCCCCCACTCAATTTATAAATATACCCCACTTCACATTCTTGCCGCACTAATTTCATTGGATCCAAATGATAATTGTCTCTCCTTTTCACATTCATTCTAATCAGTTCTCTCTCACATACTCTTGTATTCCCACCCAATTTTTGAAGGAATAATTCTTAAAAATTGGAGTTATGGAGTGTTTATGCCAAAATGATGGCATCAACAACACATCTTTCCAAAATGATGGACTTTTTAACAAAGTCTAACCAAGATATGCAAATTTATTGTACATTATCCTCCCAAACTGCCCATGATTTTATCAAGCTATATATATATATATATTATATTTCCCCAAAAGCACCACCACCATTGCTAGCAACGCCATCGTCGCTCCACTACCACAACTGTCGCCACAACTCTCTCTCTTTTCTTCCTTTATCTCTCCGCCGTTGCTTTCTCCCCTCTGTTTCCCTCTCTGTGATTCTCTCTCTTCTCTCCACCATGGTCTCCAGCCACCATTGATAAAGACTATAAATATATAAAATATATGCACACATATAAGCATAAATATGTGTATATATTTTGTATAAGTAACAAAATTTTATTGATGTTGCCTTCTTCAAAGACCCAATTGTAGCTGATATATATAATATATGCAAACATTTAATTAATTGCATCTGATTGGTATCCAACATATTATTTCAATAACTTATACATATGTGTGTGTGTGTGTGTGTGTGTGTGTGTGTGTGTGTGTATAGAAGTAATTGAATCAGTCTCTCCCACAATATAGTTGTACCTTCTAATTTATATAGACAAACACCCACAACCACCAGAGCAGCGATCGTCGGCATACTTGCGAACCTGCTTTTCCCATTCGGATCCTATCCAAGAGGAGGTGAAGTAGCGGCAATCGGGATCAATGAAGTTCTGAATCGATCGACAGCACAGGTGACAAGAAAGGACAATCCGCCGGAGATAGGAAGAATTTTGAGGGACTGTGCTTACCTTAGCTCTGTTAATGGTGTAATTGTTTTCCCAAAAGCCAGATGATGAGAGAGAAATGGTAGGTGAAGAGAGAGGAAGGACAACTTGGTAGCAACTTGGTAATCAAGACTACCTTTATAAATTCCATCACATTGAAAAAGTTGACTTTTGACTTTGTCATTTTGGCATAAAGCATCCATAATTTCATTTTTTTTTTTTAGGAATTGTCCCATTTTTTAAAATACCCCACTATATATTCTTGTATCTGCATATTTTATATATTCGGAAAGTCCACACACACACAGACACACATATATATATATATATATTTGTAATCCAAAAGAAAGTTAAGTAAATGGGCTCACTTTTTATTCTTCACCCCCAAAATCCATGGTAATCTAGGAAATATAGACACATCTAAAAGGTCAAAGTATCGAGTCTAATACCGTCACATGTTGGACACGGCTCTGCAAGTGCCGAACAAGCTCATAATTTCTGGATTGAGGCTTAGAGAGGTTGTTGTGTCGGGGGCCAAGCTCGTGATTTTTTGAGGGTCACGCCCTTGTGCGTTTAGTGGTGTCTATGGCTTGAAAGAAATATGAGATCTTTTAAAGAAAATGAGACCCTAGCCTTATTGTTGCGTTGAAGTTTTTCATTATTAGTACTATTTTTAATTGGGTTGAATGGAAAAATTGTAATTCCATGAATGATATTGCTGATTTTTTTGTACTCTTAGAGAGTTTAGAGGTCCTTTTTGGCCATGTGTAGCTTTTGATGGATGTGTTCTCCTTTTGAACACTTTTGATACATTTTTTATTTATCAAAAAAAAAAAAGATTTGTCGGACAAGTCACAAAAATTAAAATTTTATATTTATTATTTTTTTATTCTTTAACATGTCCCTCAAAAATATTCCTAGGTCCATCAACCCAGCAATAAAGTTCGAACAAACAATTTGCTTAAACTCATCAAATCTAAAAGCATTTTCCAACTTTAGATATATTGCAAATCAATTAAGATGATGATAATGACCTCCCCAACAGGTGACCTCCCTCCTACTTGAGACCTCCTCTGTGACCTGTCAAGGCTGATAACTGACGCTCTTGGCCTCCATGGACGGCACAAAGGACTACTAGATTGCAGAGCTAACGGTTATTTGAAACCTAACTGCTAACGGCTAGTTACCTAGTTAGGTTGGGCATGTTATTTGAATCATTGATTGGGCTTGGGCCAATTAAGCTATATGGCTTCTTTTTTTTTGGTTTCATTTTTTAATGCCTTTGGGCTTGTTGGTCCTTATGTTCTTGGGCCTATTACACTCTGCACATACATACCTTCGTACCTCTATATACAAAATGCCTTCATGTGACGTATACATCACAGATATATATACATATATATACAATCAGAGTCATCAGACACATACATATATTATGATATTATATGTTGGGGCACAACGGAAGCAAAAGAAAGAAAGAAAACAATAATTCAAACCACAACACAAGATATATACGTGATTCACCCAAAATCATGGTTACATCTACGGGTGAGAAGAGATTCACTATATATGTAGAGATATTACAATAGTAGAGAATTTCAACACTGGACCATGCACACAAACTCTTGACCGAGTTCTCTGTATACTCCACGAGATTCCTCTCGCCGTCAGTGTTCACTCTACCAAACTCATAACTCACCCCTACCATCAACGTACTCCCTCATGAGGTTACATCTCTCTCAACTCATAACTCTCAACAATAACCTAAGTATCTTTTTATAAAATCACATACCCAATTCTTTTGTGGACAAGGATTACAATTTCTTAGAGCCCAATTCACGTCTCTATAAGAAATTATCATAAAAAATACACTCTAAAATAGAAACTAATAATAATGGGAATTTGAGAAATAATTTCTAACAATCTCCACATTGGCTCAAATTTCATTACGTCAATCATCGCTTCTAATGGCAATTGAATCTGGATAATTCTCCGCAACTTCAATGTTCTCGATCTTATTGCGGAACTCATACGTTACTCAATTAGTCAAACCCCAAGGCTCCACCTTGATTACTCAAACTCCATGCCATGTAACCAAGCCGATTGACTCCACCTATAACTGAAGCCCGTTATAACACATGTTGAGACTTCTTGTGTTTTCTGGATCTCCTTCACTTTTGGCTCTGATTCCAGTTGTTTGGGCACAGCGGAAGCAAAAGAAAGAAAGAAAACAACAATTCAAACCACAACACAAGATATATACGTGGTTCACCCAAAATCAGGATTACATTTACGGATGAGAAAAGATTCACTATATATGTAGAGATATTACAATAGTAGATAATTTCAACACCGGACCATGCATACAAACTCTTGACCGAGTTCTTCGTGTACTCCACGAGACTCCTCTCGCCATCAGTGTTCACTCTACCAAACTCGTAACTCACCCCTACCATCAACGTACTCCCTCATGAGGCTACATCAACAATAACCTAAGTGTCTTTTTATAGAGTCACATACCCAATTCCTTTGTGGACAAAGATTACAATTTCTTAGAGCCCAATTCATGTCTTTATAAGAAATTACCATAAAAAATACACTCTAAAATATAAACTAATAATAATGAGAATTTGAGACATAATTCCTAACATTATATACAATAAATATATTCAACAAGAAAGTCCATACAAATTAACTTAAATGGTTTCAAAACATGTAATAAACAGATTAAGCTAGCATCCAGTGAAAATGTTACATAATAAAGAAATTGTAAAGAATTTTCAATGCGGGCAACAAAAAACTTTATTTATTATACAATTTTTTTTTTTTCCTAACAAACATAAAAGAATTACGACTGAACACAAAGATCAGCGTGGGCAAGTTGTACAATATGAGCAGGAACACACTCTAATACAATATCATCATGATTTAGACGTTTTGAAAGGTTGGCAATCTCATGAGCCACTGTATTCCCCTTCTCTCCTAGTATGAGAAATATTCAGCTCCTTGAACCAACTCAAAGCTTCTTTGACATCAAAAATTAATGTTGAAAGTTCAAATGGAGGAGATTTCACCCCACAAACCGCACCAATCACCATCTTAGTATCACATCCCACCCAAAAACTCCGTAGGTATTGAGCCTACCAAAGTGCCCTTCGAAGACAATAGGCCTCAGCTATAGTAGCCGAGGCCACAGGAAAATGCTTTAGAGTGACTGCATGAGTGATGGAACCCTCTAAATCCCTAAACACCACACCACCGCCCCATACCCATTATTGTGCACAAAACCAAGCATCAACATTGCACTTTATCTATCCATCCTGTTGGCGGGGAGATCTTGTCATGCTTTATATGCGGGATAGTCACCTCTGATCTTTTTCTTCTTTAGTGGGCATCAAAAAATTCAGAGAATCGAGAACAAGCTAGAGCTGTCACTTGCCAAGGAGTCTGTTGCCTATAATCAAAATAAAAAGAATTACGCTCCTTCCATAAAGCCCAAACAGAAAAAGAAGCAAATCCCATATGTTTAACAAGAACTTCCTTAGGCACCAACGGGGACACAAAGCTCTTCCACCAGCTTGCAAGTGAAGACGCATCAACATCAATAAAATCCAGCCAGATAGGAGAGATTTTCCAAACCTGGATCGCAAATGAACACCAAAACAAAATATGCACAACCTGTTGGAAAAATATATGCTTAATGTGACTTTTAAGATATAACAACCCTTATACTAATATGTCATGAGATAATTAACAATATGCTAATAAATCATTAATTAAATATGCAACTCTATATTTAATTAAATATGCAAAATAAAGCAATAAAATAATAATAATATGCAAGGAATGAACCTGGACCGAGGCTAGTATTGGATACTATGTCCTTAAGACAGATTCGCCCCGCTATGGTGCTAACGGACTCAGTGGCGTCTATCTCCCAAGATAAAACGGTCTACATCCACCAGTAGCAGCACTACAAACTCGTGGATACGGCGAACCTCCTCCGTGTAATACTCATTCTGACTCAAAAATGCATCTATATACTATATAAATGCTGAATTGGGTATAATCCGAACTAAATGGTTCAGACCAATCTTAATATGGCTCAATGAAATTGGATTAGGGTCGAAGTGGCTCGAACCACTTAACCTATGGTTTGAACCCACTTGGGTTAGGTTCTAGTCTAGAGAGGGAGATAGAAGAAAATGAAAATGAATGAATTGCAAATGATCCAAATGGGGGTATTTATAGAAACAGATACGCCTTTTCGGATTAGGTGTATCTCTTCATTATTAGACACAACCATTGCAATAGGTTGCAATGGTTCACATGATGTCTGTTCACCACTAGACACATCTATTCCAATAAGTTGTAATGGTTCACATGGTGTCTGTTCACCAATAGACACATCCATTCCAATAGGTTGCAATATGCCTTTTCGAGTGGGTGCAACCATGGGTCATGATGGTTCGAAAAAAGGTGTAACCCTTTGAAAAAAAAACTAAAAAGTGATTTTTTAATTTAAAAGGTGTAACCCTTTAGAAAAACTAAAATATGGTTTTTTTAAAAGGTGTAACCTTTTAGAAAAACTAAAAAGTAGTTTTTTTAATTCAAAAAACCAACCACCCAAAAAAACCCACTCATTTGTGAAACCCATTTAAATAAGCCCAGCCCAAAATTAGGCCCAATCCAAAATTCCAAAAAAGAATAATCTGGACTTTACAATTAGGCCCAAGCCTAAGCCCAAATCCTAAACTCAGCTTATTTAAATTTCAATTTGTTTAAACATTTTTTCCATGTGGGACAAACACTTCCCATATTTTGCATACCTATTTAGGCTTATCAAAACACCACACTTTGGAGCTAATTTCTCATTCATCCGGAAACGGATTTCAGAAAGTAAATATACCACGTTCATCTCCTTGCGGAGAGAAACGCGCTTGTCTAGAGATCCGTAAAAAATTATTAGCGGAATCTATTTCAAATCTCATCCAAAGTTTATGTTTTTAATGCCCCCGTTTCCAATAATCCCCCACATGAATGGAAATTTGCGTAAAATGCAAAAGATGATCATGCAGACACTAAAGGGAGTATAATCGAAAAGTTACTGCATCAGGATAGGTGGCTTTTGGCTTTGAACCTTCCCTAGTGTATTGTTATCGGATTTACTGGCTAACCAGTGAACGCGATGTCTTGAACTGTTCAGCCGTTTGTGTAAACCAAGACAATAACAAACACACAGTAGCTTTCCTCACAAAGTTGGTTCTCATTGTTGTGTTCATTTTGGCCCTAAACAACTCCTAGTATTTAATGAGTGCTCCAGAAAACT